ACCCCCCGCGTAAGAACGTCTGAGCCCCCCCCCCTCCCCAACTCAAAAGAAATTTCCTCATCGATACTCTATAATAAAATTACCGCCTAATTAATGTGTCTAATCTAAAAAGTGGTTTTCTTGCAATGGGACGGTAGACATGTTTTTTTTTTGGGGGGGGGGGGGGTGTGGAGGGGTGGGCGGGGGTGTGTGTGGGGGGGGTGGTGTGTGGGGGTGGGGGGTGGTGTGGGGGGGTGGGTTGGTTTCAGTGTTTCTTTAAGACTTTTTCCTCCCCGGAGAGGGGTGGGGGGTACTTGAAATTTTCGGGGGCGGGGGTAGAATTTTCTGGGAGGGGGCGGACACTGGAAAAAGTATATAATTATATTTCGTTGAATGGGACGGTAGACATGTTTTTTTTTTGGGGGTGGGGGGTGGTGGAGGGGTGGGGGGGGTGGTGTGTGTGTGGGGGTGGGGGTGGGGGTGTGTGTGTGGGGGGGGGGTGGGGGGTGGTGTGGGGGGGGGGGTGGGGGTGGTGTGTGGGGGGGTGGGTTGGTTTCAGTGTTTCTTTCAGACTTTTTCCTCCCCGGAGAGGGGTGGGGGTACTTGAAATTTTCGGGGGCGGGGGTAGAATTTTCTGGGAGGGGGCGGACACTGGAAAAAGTATATAATTATATTTCGTTGAATGGGACGGTAGACATGTTTTTTTTTTGGGGGGGGGGGGTGGGGGGTGGGGGGGCGGTGTGTGGAGGGGGTGGTGTGTGGGGGTGAGGGGTGGGGGTGGGGGTGGTGTGTGGTGGGGGGTGAGGGTGGGGGTGGTGTGTGGGGGTGGGGGGTGGGGTGAGGGTGGTGTGTGGGGGGGGGGTGGGTTGGTTTTAGTTTAGAGATAAGAGACAGCACTATCAGCCTAGCGCCCGTTGTACCCTTCCTCAACGGGCCATTTTTCTCGTTAATACTAATAGTTTCGCTGTCTGTCTATCTGACAAGAACGCTCTGTCTGACAAGAACGCTCTAGAGAAAACACAAGCAATTTAAAAACATGCACAGTAATTCGAAAAACGAAATATGACGTCGACACATTTAGCGTAGAGTAGAACATAATCTCAAACCAGAGAGTGCACACAGTAATGTAATGACGTCATTGATTCTCGCGTAAACATTGAAAACAAGGAAATGTTGTCTAATCTAAATGGTTTGCGTGAAGAGTTTCTTGCATACAATTCTTCGGGTAGGGGCGAAGCCCCACCCCCCGCGTAAGAACGTCTGAGCCCCCCCCCTCCCCAACTCAAAAGAAATTTCCTCATCGATACTCTATAATAAAATTACCGCTTAATTAATGTGTCTAATCTAAAAAGTGGTTTTCTCGCAATTTCTTTAATGCAATTCTTCGGGTAGTGGCTAAGCGCGACACCAGTGTGTCTTTCAGACTTTTTCCTCCCCGGAGAGGGGTGGGGGTAATTGAAATTTTCGGGGGCGGGGGTAGAATTTTCGGGAAGGGGGGCGGACACTGGAAAAAGTATATAATTATATTTCGTTGAATGGGACGGTAGACATGTTTTGTGGGGGTGGGGGGGGGGTTGGGGGGGGGGGGGGGTGGGGGTTGGGGTGGTGGTGTGTGGGGTGGGTGGGGGTGGGAGGGGTGGGAGGGGTGGGGGTGGGGGGTGGTGTGTGTGGGGTGGGGGGTGGGTTGGTTTTAGTTTAGAGAAAAGAGACAGCACTATCAACCTAGCGCCCGGTGTATCCTTCCTCAACGGGCCATTTTTCTCGTTTATTTAATACTAATAGTTTCGCTGTCTGTCTATCTGACAAGAACGCTCTGTCTGACAAGAACGCTCTAGAGAAAACACAAGCAATTTAAAAACATGCACAGTAATTCGAAAAACGAAATATGACGTCGACACATTTAGCGTAGAGTAGAACATAATCTCAAACCAGAGAGTGCACACAGTAATGTAATGACGTCATTGATTCTCGCGTAAACATTGAAAACAAGGAAATGTTGTCTAATCTAAATGGTTTGCGTGAAGAGTTTCTTGCATACAATTCTTCGGGTAGGGGCGAAGCCCCACCCCCCGCGTAAGAACGTCTGAGCCCCCCCCCCCTCCCCAACTCAAAAGAAATTTCCTCATTGCAGTGGTGGAGGGGTGGGGGGGTGGTGTGTGGGGTGGGGGGGGGGGTGTGTGTGGGGGTGGTGTGTGGGGGGGGGTGGGGGGTGGTGTGTGGGGGGGTGGGTTGGTTTCAGTGTTTCTTTCAGACTTTTTCCTCCCCGGAGAGGGGTGGGGGTACTTGAAATTTTCGGGGGCGGGTGTAGAATTTTCTGGGAGGGGGCGGACACTGGAAAAAGTATATAATTATATTTCGTTGAATGGGACGGTAGACATGTTTTTTTTTTGGGGGGGGGGGTGGGGGGTGGGGGCCGGTGTGTGGAGGGGGTGGTGTGTGGGGGTGAGGGGTGGGGGTGGGGGTGGTGTGTGGTGGGGGGTGGGGGTGGTGTGTGGGGGTGGGGTGGGGGTGGTGTGTGGGGGGTGGGTTGGTTTTAGTTTAGAGAAAAGAGACAGCACTATCAGCCTAGCGCCCGTTATATCCTTCCTAAACCGGCCATTTTTCTCGTTTATAAATATGTACCAACATTTATAAATCTAGTTAAATCTATACAATAATTTTAAACACCTACAAATTACTCATAGTCATAGAATACATACATCATGGCATTAGTTGCAGTGGTTAATGTAATCAATATAGGCTATAGGACCACTAAAGGGATAATCGACAAGGCATCTGCAACAAGGTTATTAAGACCTTTTATGTGTTTGATGCACAAGTCGAAGTTTTGAAAATACAATGTCCATCTTACTAACCTGGGATTTTGATTTCCGAACTGTTTAATAAAAGCTAAGGGATTGTGGTCAGTGTACACCACTAAGGGACCAACAGAGGAAGTCACAGATTATAAATGTTGCAAAGCAAGTACTACGGCTAGTGCCTCTTTCTCAATAGTTGAGTTGTTGCGTTGGCCAGCATTTAATTTTTGTGAAAAATAGGCAATGGGATGATCCATTCCATTTGTATCCTTTTGTAATACCCCTACTTCGCTGGCATCCACAGCCAGTTTAAACGGCTCACTAAAATCAGGAGCTTTTAGGACGGGGATGGAGGTTAACATGGCTTTGATTTGTTCAAAACTTGTTTGACATGGGACATCCCAAACAAACTTAACGTTACGTTTGAGAAGAGTGGTGGGGGGGGGGGGGGGCAACAACACTAGAGAAGTTTGGACAAAATCGTTGGTAGAAGCCCGATGCCTAAAAACCTCAACTGTCTTACATTTGTAAGAGGGGACATGTGGTCAATGGCTTCGACTTTGACTGACACAGGTCGAACCACGCCATTACCAACATTGTGGCCGAGATACGTTACATAATTGACAAAAATCGCTTAAATTGGCCAATCTTAATTCAGTAAACGATTTACAGAGATGGGACAAATGTTGTGAAAAACTACAAGAATATAAAACTACATCATCAATGTAGGAGTTTTCCAATATTATTATTATAAGCTTAGCTATTTTAATTATCCAATACATGTGTTACCTTGATAATCAACCTTGGTAAAAGTATGTGTTTTCTATATAAATTACATTTTGTCGTTGGGGGGGGGGGGGGGTGTTAGATTTTCTTCGGGGGAGCTCTGCCCCCCCCCCTCCCAAGAGGTGCCTGTAAGAAACTCTGGATATACAGAGTATCTTAATATGTAATCATCGATTTGATGGTATTAAGAATTATAAAATATGTTAAGCTACTCATCAGCCATCAAGTTGACATACTTTGTTGTTCAAAATCATCAAATTTGCGATATTATTTTTTGAATATTAATGGACAGGCTTAACACCAGTAGAGAAACTGAAGATGGTAACCACGTAAAGGACAGAGAAGAATATAGGAAGAGGATAAAACTGTTCGTATATCAAAGCTTATGCCTCCATAAAAATGATATGAAATGACATTAACAGTTCCAGCCCCTAAAATAAATTGTTTTTATTACGAACTTTTAATGAGAAACATTTATTAATAAAGAATAAATGTATAAAGGATAAAAAGGAGAATGTAAAAAAAAAGTGTTTTTAATTCTTTGGAAATCAGCTACTTGAGCTTACTGAAGATGCTGGCGGGGGTGTGGGATGGGGAGTTGTGCGGGGAGTTGGACAAAGGCTATAGAAGCAAATACAGAAAGAAAAGTAGATTGATTGAAATCTGAGTCAACGGCGTTTATGGCGGATAACAAGCTGACAGTGAAACTTAATTGTGTTGGAGGAAATACATTCCACCTTCCAACAGAATCCAACATTACAATCAAGAATGAAGAAGAAGAATCGAACCCGCTGAACATAGCTGAAAGTAAATGCTGCTTGATACTTTATTATTAATTTCGCTTAATTTTCGTGAAGGCTTCTTTCTTTACTTAGCTTAGCCTTTTACGCTATACTTTACTCATTAAAAGAGGTTTGTTTTCTGAATGTTGCCCAAATTGATATTACACGTGTAATTAAATAGCTGCGATGCACGACCCGTTGCAACTTTTTTCGTTGTTTTTTTCTGCTCGTATCTAAAAAAAAAAATCTCACAATATGTCATGGCCCTCGAATGTTGAGGTACCCCAACTTTAAAAAAATTATAAATTAGTTTTAAAAATGCATGTAGCACAAGCTACTTCACAGAAAGATACCATGTCAACTGATCAACAACTAGCTGGTTTTCTTTATGTTGAAGTGCTATAAACCAAGTAGCTCTTGTTGAATGCTGATTCAGCCCTCAAAGCAGAGGTAAACAAAATGTTAAGTCCCCTTTCCGACACAAGATTTCCAAATGAAATGTAATCTTTGGCTGTTCGTTCTCCGAATATGAGGGGATAGTTAAGCAGTACCCTAACCTTAATATAGCTCAAGAGCTTAATAATTTATAAAAATTTAGTAAAACAAAAACAAAATATATACAGGAAAATTATTAAAAAAAACAACCCACAAATAATGTGTAGGAAAAATAAACTTTATTGACCAAAAAAAAGCAATTTGTGTATTATTATTTTATTGTGCTTCTACTTATAGCAAACCAATAAATTACACGCCAAATATTTATAGAACAGAAAATTAAAAGATTAATTTTCTATTTTCAATGTATCGGGATGAATAGTGTCATCTCTTAAATCAATATGCCAGGCGAATGTGGCCAAATATTAAGGACTATCTATGTTAATTCTAAAGTCTAAAGTCACTCAACGTGAAGCTATTTGTTTCCTTTTTCAAATCAATTTGAAAATAAGACAAAAGTTCATACTAATATAATGGAAAAAGAAACTGACATGGTTAAAAAAAAACAAGCTTTAAACAGCCGATTCTTGGTTATCATTTGCAACGCTGACCTTGCGGAGAATGCGCTTGTGGTCTTCAGACGAGTCCGGCACGAAAGAGCTTCTTCTTCTTGTAACCGTAACATCCTGTGTAGCAATCTCTTGCTCCTAAACAAGAAAATTCAAAAATAGTTTTGTAATTCTTCAACACACAGTTAAAATATTTTAAAAAATTGTCTTAAAATATATAATTCTTTATATATATATATATATATATATATATATATATATATATATATATATATATATATATATATATATATATATATATATATATATATATATATATAAACTAGCCGTCCCAACCAGGCCATGCACTGGCCGCTGTGAAAAACCTATCTTTAAAGGACTACGACTTGTGTGTTCTATAAAGCAGCATATACCCGTCATTGCCCGGGTTTAGGTATATATTACTTTTCCAATTAACTGTCTATATGCAAATATGGATATTTGACGAATTAATACATAATCCTAATCCTAACTCTAACTATAAACTTAACTTTAACCACAACCAACCAAAACAAAACACAAACGTAACGCAAACACAAACGCAAACCAAAATCCAAACACAAAAGCAAACAAAAGCAAAAACGCAATCACAAAAGCAAACACAAATGCAAACATAAACACAAACACAATGTCAAACACAAACACAAAATGAAACGCAAACATAAACTCATAGTGCTCATAGAATAACCCGGGGCGGCAAATCGCATCTTGCCGGGGCGCCGGCGGACCAGCCTAATTAAACTTAATACTATAATACCACATCTTATCCATAGCGCACGCGGGAAGGCCCGGGCGTCAAATAGCACCTTGTCGGGGCGCCAAAGTGAATGACTATAATACCCCATCTTATTCGCAAATGGAAAGATAAGAGTAAGAATAGAGGACATTTATGAACGGATTCTAAACTGCTGCTGATTAAAAATAATAATTAGAAAACAGTACATTCAGTGTATACAATAAATAAAAGGTAGCATTTAAAATACCCGTGTTTTACCTACCAAATTACATTTATTAATCCATGCTAATTATAACATTATTTTTTTTCAAACATCAAAACAAACGAATCAAAAGTACCCCCCCCCCCCCACGATATAATGTTTTTTTTTTAAATCCCCTATCAAGGAAAGTAATTGGTACTAAGAGAAGTAATTTGAAATATTTTTGAAAGACACAACCAGAACTTTTGATTTGATTTCGTTCTCTATTAAAATGACGAGCCGACCCGCTGCGTATCATACGCCGCTATTTAGTTGTTTTTTCCTACTTTTCAGTAATTTATAATGCTGCCATTGAAAATATTTGCTTAAAAACACTAACCCCCCCCCCCCCCCCCACGTGAAAGCAGCCTCCTCTTAGTTACCTCCTCTAAGTTTAAAATCGTTTCAAACTCAATTATCTGCCCCTAATAGCCGTCACCAAACCCGTCTCTATGATTGTAAAATGTAAACAGAGTGAACACCGCTCACCAGATCATGTGGGGGTGGGGTGGGTGTGGTAGTGATAGTGATAGAGAGGAGGAGAGGGGACTGCAAAGGCGCGCTTGCAGCTTGTTTTCTTACGGCTCGAAGAAGAGAATTATATATATAGAAGATAGTTGGAAAATTAAAGCTTTTTTTTTTACAAACCCATCAATATTGTTTTTAGACATCGATTTAGAGTATATATATATATATATATATATATATATATATATATATATATATATATATATATATATATATATATATATATATATATATATATATATATATATATATATATATATATATATACATGTGTGTGTGTGTGTGAGTGTGTGTGTGTAGTTGAAGATAAATTACCTCCTCTGCCAATTTTAAATCTTCATGTATAATTTGTAGGTAGGGAGGTCCATTAGGTGGACCACGGTCTATCGCCACAGTCATACCGATGAAGCAAATAACTTGTAAGATATAAGATATAAGCAGCACACCAATCGGCAGTACCTCCAGCTGTTGAACGAGGGAAAATTAACATTTTCTTATACCTGTTGGAAACGTACTTTTTAGACTTAAATATCGTTATAACGTTTGTGTGCTTTAAAAAGTGAAATGCGTACAATGTCTTTGATCGAACTACATAGTACAGATTTGAGTTGGATCGCCGAAGTTGCTAAAGAAATTGCGTGAACGAAATATGAAATTTTCACAAAGACCTAACCTGCAGGATAGCTTCCCGTTTCCGCCAGGCAAAGTTTTTGTTGATTTCCCCTGCGTGAGCGATATAGATAAAGGCCGCAATGAACTTCGGCGGAGCTGTGTACGAAAATATTACACGACATTGAACACAGTGGAGATATGTACACAACTATTTCACGACATTGAACACATTGGAGATATGTACACAACTATTTCACGACAGTGAACACATTGGAGATATGTACACAACTATTTCACGACAGTGAACACAGTGGAGATGTGTACAAAACTATTACACGACATTGAACACAGTGGAGATGTGTACACAACTGAAACACATCTGGTTCACTTACATCCATAGAAATCCAAAATCCTGCAGATACGCAAGAGATTGCAGGAGACTCTGCCTGTGCCAATGATCGGCCAGAACAGAAAAAGTTGCACCCCGAAACTCAGGACACAACTGGTGGCCCCGATCACGCCCAAGGTGAAGGCCAATTTCTGCCAATCTATAGCATAGGACAGATTAAAACACTTAGGTACATGCCCAGTTTGTGTAGCCTAGTGTCTAGCTAAGTTTATACTTAGATGGTCTGGCAGCTTTATAAAGAATGCCATACGTCATGGGACGGTGAAATGGGATAATTTGCTAAGTCTTAGGACGTTTATTGGGATTATCCGCAGACTTTATAGGATACTTAATAGGATCATTCGTTGTCACCATGAGACGCCATGTTCCCCATCAACACTAAACTAAAAAAAGTTCTTAAAATGTTCCCCAGCCATACAAAGAAAACATCAGTTAACATAAACCTATAAAATACCATATTAATGCTTCTGAAGGTTCGTTTAATATTTAAATGATTATAAATCATTTAGAGTTATAAAGTTTTATGATACTGTCTGAATTCTTTAAGTGTGAAAAAACATACGCCAACTATAAGCGATCATTGATCACTTTAGCCATTAATGTTTTAACTTTTAGGATTTTCGCCTGAGGCATAACCAAGGGATTTATGTTTTGAGTCGACATTTTGTCTACATAGGTTTGTTATTTGGCATCAATTAGTAGGCTACAGTCAAGAAAGGACAGATTTAAATTTGTAAGAAAATAGTTAATAACTTAGTAACTGAAAACATTTTTTCTAATTGATATAAGAAATGTACCTGGCATATTTGCATACGAGGACTTGACGCAAAAATCGTCCGTGCAAACAACATCTGTATTAATAAAGTGATACCCATTTCTGTCGGCGCTGAAAATAAAGTTGACGTACACGTGCTATTGCTATAGATAGGCCATAGAGTCGGGCTATGTATTTATTCTAACTGCATTTTAGATGGAAACATGGAGGGGAGGTCGTCCTATACGCCAGAAAATAATATATATATATATATATATATATATATATATATATATATATATATATATATATATATATATATATATATATATATATATATATATATATATATATATATATATATATATATATATATATAGACTAGCACTGGCCCTGACTAAATACATAGACTAGCACTGGTCTTGACCTGATACACAGACACTAGCACTGGCCCTGACTAAATTCATAGACTAGCACTAGCCCTGACTAAATACATAGACTAGCACTGGTCTTGACATGATACACAGACTAGCACTGGCCCTGACTAGATACATAGACTAGCACTGGTCTTGACTAGATATTAGCACTGGCCCTGACTAGATACATAGACTAGCACTGGCCCTGACTAGATACATAGACTAGCACTGGCCTTGACCAGATACATAGACTAGCACTGGCCCTGACCAGATACATAGACTAGCACTGGCCCTGACAAGATACATAGACTAGCACTGGCCCTGACTAGATACATAGACTAGCACTGGCCCTGACTAGATACATAGACTAGCACTGGCCCTGACAAGATACATAGACTAGCACTGGCCCTGACAAGATACATAGACTAACACTGGCCCTGACTAGATACAAAGACTAACACTGGCCCTGACTAGATACAAAGACTAGCACTGGCCTTGACCAGATACATAGACTAGCACTGGCTATGACCTGTATGAGCGGCCGCTCTACTTTTAAACCACGCCGACCCACGCGATATTTTACCGCACAAGGTGGAACCTACTTTGTTACGCCAAACTCTTTCCTTTTGTTGGTGAACCAAGGGATGAAGAAGATGACGTAGAGGTCCAATAGGCAGGACATCATGGACACCATAGTGGCGGCAACTGCGACATTTCTCTGTCCAACAAAATACCAATGAGCACAATCTTAATTGTATCTCGTATTGTCTCATTATTTACACAGATTAAATGCATTTTTTATTAAATAACTCGCCCGGACCTGCTTATGAAATTACAAATTCAGCTTTAAGCATACTATTTAAAACAATACACTGTCAAAATTGTTAATGATACCAACCTATCCTAGCAACTATTTCACACGCCCCCCCCCCCCCAACAAAGGCTTCCGTTTCTGCCTTCAAACACACTTTGTTATGACTGTAGTCTTATGTTAAATAGAACGCGGCAGGCTTCATTTGTCTCAATCGCCATTACCCAACACATTTTAACAAGTATTGTTCCTAACTGATTTAAAAAAAAAAGTTTTTTTAAAAATAAATCACAACATCTGTGGCACAAAAACATCGACCTCAGTATTACACTATCTACAGACCCCAGCAACACAACATCCGCTGACCCCAGCATCACAACATCTACCGACCCCTGTAGCACATAAACACCGACCTCAGTATTACACTATCTACAGACCCCAGCAACACAACATCCACTGACCCCAGCAACACAACATCCACTGACCCCAGCATCACAACATTTACCGACCCCTGTGGCACAAAAACACCGACCTCAGTATTACACTATCTACAGACCCCAGCAACACAACATCCGCTGACCCCAGCATCACAACATCCACCGACCCCTGTAGCACAAAAACACCGACCTCAGTATTACACTATCTACAGACCCCAGCAACACAACATCCGCTGACCCCAGCAACACAACATCCACCGACCCCTGTAGCACAAAAACACCGACCCCTGTAGCACAAAAACACCGACCCCTGCATCACAGTGAATACCGACCCCCCCCCCCCCCAATGACACATCCACTAGGAAATGGATCACTTTAGTTAAGATTTGCAACTGTGTGAGTCAAGCTACCGTTTTATTGAGACATGCTTATTATATCACACATACAATCTACAGCGATTATTCTTGTAAATAGAACATTAAATTATTTATAAAAAATTAAAAACCAAATTAACCTGGAATAAAATACAGTGTACATGTGTATAAATCCTGGCCTTTTATCACACACATTCTGAAAGTAGCCCTATATATAGTTAAATAAGTTCAACCTTAGGTTCTAAATCAACACATTAGCGAATAAGCGACGATGCAATAAAATGAACGTTGCATATAACCTATTATCTATCAAGTTTAAAACGATTAGCTCGTCTTTGCTTGATTCATTTTTGTGTTTCGCACTTACGTAAGGTTTTTATGCTCTGCATTAGATCAGTTTTTGTCGGTGTCGCTCTTTGGATCGTGACAGGTCGGCGAGTATTGCGCAAGTTCTCAGTTTTTTTGTATACAGCCCGAGCACAACCTGTTTGTTGAGTCCCTCCGTGGGGCATATCCGTATACTGGGCATATCCAGATACTGAGCATATTCCGACACTGGGCATATCCCGACACTGGGCATATTTCTAAAACAGCGATGCCCTCCTTCGGCACGACAGTCAACCCCGTGAGTGTCACCGCATTTGTACTTACGTGTTTGGGGTGTGTCCAAACGGTGACCGTCATCTTTATTACCACCTGGTGGTCAGTCAGTTACTCGAAAACTGACCGGACGTTCAATGGCGTGTGGAGCAGCGAGGCATGCAAGAACGTGGGCGGCGGCTTCTCGTGTCACTCAGTGTCAGCCACGCAGCTGGAGAATGGGCAGGGTAAGTTTGTGTGTTAGACATTGTGCAGGGTAAGTTTGTGTGTTAGACATTGTGACCTGTGACCCCACACAGCTGGAGAATGGGCAGGGTAAGTTTGTGTGTTAGACATTGTGACCTGTGACCTCACATAGCTGGAGAATGGTCAAGGTAAGTTTGTGTGTTAGACATTGTGATCTGTGACTCCACACAGCTGGAGAATGGGCAAGGTAAGTTTGTGTGTTAGACATTGTGACCTGTGACCCCACACAGCTGGAGAATGGTCAAGGTAAAATTGTGTGTTAGACATTGGGCAAGGTAAGTTTGTGTGTTAGACATTGTGACCTGTGACCCCACATAGCCGGAGAATGGGCAAGGTAAGTTTGTGTGTTAGACATTGTGACCTGTGACCCCACATAGCCGGAGAATGGGCAAGGTAAGTTTGTGTGTTAGACATTGTGCAGGGTAAGTTTGTGTGTTAGACATTGTGACCTGTGACCCCACACAGCTGGAGAATGGGCAGGGTAAGTTTGTGTGTTAGACATTGTGACCTGTGACCTCACACAGCTGGAGAATGGGCAGGGTAAGTTTGTGTGTTAGACATTGTGACCTGTGACCCCACACAGCTGGAGAATGGGCAGGGTAAGTTTGTGTGTTAGACATTGTGACCTGTGACCCCACACAGCTGGAGAATGGTCAAGGTAAGTTTGTGTGTTAGACATTGTGACCTGAGACCCCACATAGCTGGAGAATGGTCAATGTAAGTTTGTGTGTTAGACATTGTGATCTGTGACCCCACACAGCTGGAGAATGGGCAGGGTAAGTTTGTGTGTTAGACATTGTGACCTGTGACCTCCTACAGCTGGAGAATGGGCAGGGTAAGTTTGTGTGTTAGACATTGTGACCTGTGACCTGTGACCTCACACAGCTGGAGAATGGGCAGGGTAAGTTTGTGTGTTAGACATTGTGACCTGTGACCCCCTACAGCTGGAGAATGGGCAGGGTAAGTTTGTGTGTTAGACATTGGGCAGGGTAAGTTTGTGTGTTAGACATTGTGACCTGTGACCCCACACAGCTGGAGAATGGGCAGGGTAAGTTTGTGTGTTAGACATTGGGCAGGGTAAGTTTGTGTGTTAGACATTGTGACCTGTGACCTCACACAGCTGGAGAATGGGCAGGGTAAGTTTGTGTGTTAGACATTGTGACCTGTGACCTCACACAGCTGGAGAATGGGCAAGGTAAGTTTGTGTGTTAGACATTGTGACCTGTGACCTCACACAGCTGGAGAATGGGCAGGGTAAGTTTGTGTGTTAGACATTGTGACCTGTGACCTCCTACAGCTGGAGAATGGGCAGGGTAAGTTTGTGTGTTAGACATTGGGCAGGGTAAGTTTGTGTGTTAGACATTGGGCAGGGTAAGTTTGTGTGTTAGACATTGTGACCTCACACAGCTGGAGAATGGGCAGGGTAAGTTTGTGTGTTGGACATTGGGCAGGGTAAGTTTGTGTGTTAGACATTGTGACCTCACACAGCTGGAGAATGGGCAGGGTAAGTTTGTGTGTTAGACATTGTGACCTGTGACCTGTGACCTCACGCAGCTGGAGAATGGGCAGGGTAAGTTTGTGTGTTAGACATTGTGACCTGTGACCCCACACAGCTGGAGAATGGGCAGGGTAAGTTTGTGTGTTAGACATTGTGACCTGTGACCCCACACAGCTGGAGAATGGGCAGGGTAAGTTTGTGTGTTAGACATTGTGACCTCACACAGCTGGAGAATGGGCAGGGTAAGTTTGTGTGTTAGACATTGTGACCTGTGACCTCACGCAGCTGGAGAATGGGCAGGGTAAGTTTGTGTGTTGGACATTGGGCAGGGTAAGTTTGTGTGTTAGACATTGTGACCTCACACAGCTGGAGAATGGGCAGGGTAAGTTTGTGTGTTAGACATTGTGACCTGTGACCTGTGACCTCACGCAGCTGGAGAATGGGCAGGGTAAGTTTGTGTGTTGGACATTGGGCAGGGTAAGTTTGTGTGTTAGACATTGTGACCTCACACAGCTGGAGAATGGGCAGGGTAAGTTTGTGTGTTAGACATTGTGACCTGTGACCTCACACAGCTGGAGAATGGGCAGGGTAAGTTTGTGTGTTAGACATTGTGACCTGTGACCCCCTACAGCTGGAGAATGGGCAGGGTAAGTTTGTGTGTTAGACATTGTGACCTCACACAGCTGGAGAATGGGCAGGGTAAGTTTGTGTGTTAGACATTGGGCAGGGTAAGTTTGTGTGTTAGACATTGTGACCTCACACAGCTGGAGAATGGGCAGGGTAAGTTTGTGTGTTAGACATTGTGACCTCACACAGCTGGAGAATGGGCAGGGTAAGTTTGTGTGTTAGACATTGTGACCTGTGACCTCACACAGCTGGAGAATGGGCAGGGTAAGTTTGTGTGTTAGACATTGTGCAGGGTAAGTTTGTGTGTTAGACATTGTGACCTGTGACCTCACACAGCTGGAGAATGGGCAGGGTAAGTTTGTGTGTTAGACATTGTGACCTCACACAGCTGGAGAATGGGCAGGGTAAGTTTGTGTGTTAGACAATGGGCAGGGTAAGTTTGTGTGTTAGACATTGTGACCTGTGACCTCACGCAGCTGGAGAATGGGCAAGGTAAGTTTGTGTGTTAGACATTGTAAGTTTGTGTGATCTATGATTCTGTACTGATTATTTCCACATCATGTGAATGTTTTACTATGTTCATTTCATATATTTACACCTCATCAAAATATGGGATATAAATAAATGCTCTCACAAAAATTAACATAAAAAACGTATTGGTTGTATTAGAACTTTAGAGCAGTATTTTAAAAGCACGTTGTTTTTTCTAGCGACATTTGATCTTATGGTTAAGGTTAATTAGAATTAGGGTTGGACAGGGCAAGGCTAGGGCTAATGCTAGCATTACGACTAATAATTAGCTATGGACAAAGAATTAAAACAGGGTTATACCATCAACAAAAAAAATTGATATGATGAGCAGTATGTATTAACAATTTAAAATCGACAACTTAGGCGAATCGAATCCTAATCGATCAAGTTATCGGTTTAATTGGTTGAGAGACAATGTTATGGGGCTCTGTACTTTACCAAGCTGTATCTTAGCCCAACCTTCGCGGATGCAGAAATCTAGATTCCATAACAACGTAGGCCCTATCCATTTGTTAAAAATAAACTAAGGATAAAGCAAGGCCTAGGCTATTGCTAGATTTTTGGACGTTTCGTATTTAAAGTGCACTAGGCGCGGTCAAGTGTGTGAGAATGAAAGGTCCACCTACCAAATCTGGTAAGTTGTACAGGCTGGGTGGTCCACACAAATTGTGACTCATTCGTTCACGTTCACTAGCAAGTCAGAATCGCGCGAGTAAAGTTTCTAAAAATAAATTGAAACTCATACTCTCTACAATAGGTGATGTCAAAGTCCACTTCTCTGTAGAAATATTTTGGTATGGGTGTGGAAAATATGTAAAACGTAATGGACAATTACGCCGAATATAGTTTAAAATAAAAGCTTATACAATAGTGAAGCAGAATTTGAAACTTTATCTCAATCAATGTTGGTAGATCCTGGGTATTTTTATTTTTGCGCACGTAAATAAAAATGTATTTAATTACACACCACACCACATTGAAACTTACACATGATTAATTAAACATTATATGTTAATAGAAACTACTGTCTGTTTATTGAAAGTATTGTCTATTTATTAAAACTATTGTCTCTTTATTGAAACAATTGTCTCTTTTTTGAAACTATTGTCTCTTTATGGTAAAAATTGTCTGTTGAAACTATTGTCTGCTTATTGAAACGTCGGTTTATTAAAACCTCGTCTCATTCCCCAGAAGCCCTGTTTGTCAGCAAAGTGTTCGCCACATTCACTGCTGTCCTATCCTTCGTTGCCGTGGTACTACACGTCGTCTACGCTCTCACGAGAGTTCCCATTGTAAGAACTACAGCCATTTTCATGCTGGGGTCTGCAGGTATGGTAACCTACTTTTACCTACAAACTAAAATCATTTTAGAACTATTAATTTATACTATAGTTTCTCTATTAGGAAATTTAAAAAAACAAACAAAAAAAGAACTCTATAGGAGATGTACAATTCTTAAACTAGTTTTTGTGAGGTAAAGCTAGTTATGGCTTGTCGACTCAGCTCTGCTGGGTACCTGTCATGAGTCGGAGGGAGTAAATACTTTTTAGCATGGTGCTGATCGCACAAAGAACACGAACTTTTTCAAATGCCCTTATAGACTGTTAGGTATGAATTGGTTCTTTCTTCTTTTATACATGATTTCCATTGAGCATTTAATGTGATTAATTGAAATGTCTGATTTAGTTGTAATTAATAGAGTACTCCCCCTCCCCTCCCCACCTCACAGGTTTATTTGGACTGCTGGCGGTGTTTGTGTTTGCCGGGTTTTACAGCTCTCTCAGCGTCGGCTCCCCGTCCTTGGGCGTGGCCTTCTACTTGTTCCTCATTGGGAGCATCGTCTGCCTTGTGGCTGCGGCCTTCACGGCCTGGGCCTCAGTCAGGAAGGTCATGACCTTCAGCCCCACACAGCTGGAGTAGCCCAGCACCGTCAGGAAGGTCATGACCTTCAGCCCCACACAGTACTGGAGTAGTCCAAAAATGTACTCATTCTCAGTTAGCTTTGCAATTTCCTTGTTAAGAAACGCATCAAGTTTCCCCAAGCTTCTTGTCATCGTAGGTTTAAATACTTTTCTATTGTGGATAGATCTAGATGTATTTGATTGAAACGTAAACGTGGTGAATAAAAATATTCCAACCGACTGTATGGATGAGGATATTTTCTTCGTGCTACATTACAATCAGAGCTTACACATGAATTGTCTTGATGTCAATATTATAGTGGCTGGTCAAATGATGGGGGTGTTATGGTGGCTGGTCAAATGTTATGGTGGCTGGTCAAATGATGGGGTGTTATGGTGGCTGGTCAAATGATGGGGTGTCATGATGGCTGGTCAAATGATGGGGGTGTTATGGTGGCTGGTCAAATGTTATGGTGGCTGGTCAAATGATGGGGTGTTATGGTGGCTGGTCAAATGATGGGGTGTCATGATGGCTGGTCAAATGATGGGGGTGTTATGGTGGCTGGTCAAATGTTATGGTGGCTGGTCAAATGATGGGGGTGTTATGGTGGCTGGTCAAATGATGGGGGTGTTAAGGTGGCTGGTCAAATGATGGGGGTGTTATGGTGGCTGGTCAAATGATGGGGGTGTTATCGTGGCTGGTCAAATGATGGGGGTGTTATGGTGGCTGGTCAAATGATGGGGGTGTTATGGTGGCTGGTCAAATGATGGGGGTGTTATGGTGGCTGGTCAAATGATGGGGGTGTTATGGTGGCTGGTCAAATGATGGGGGTGTTATGGTGGCTGGTCAAATGTTATGGTGGCTGGTCAAATGATGGGGGTGTTATGGTGGCTGGTCAAATGATGGGGGTGTTATGGTGGCTGGTCAAATGTTGGGGGTGTTATGGTGGCTGGTCAAATGATGGGGGTGTTATGGTGGCTAGTCAAATGTTATGATGGCTGGTCAAATGATGGGGGTGTTATGGTGGCTGGTCAAATGATGGGGGTGTTATGGTGGCTAGTCAAATGTTATGGTGGCTGGTCAAATGATGGGGGTGTTATGGTGGCTGGTCAAATGATGGGGGTGTTATGGTGGCTGGTCAAATGTTGGGGGTGTTATGGTGGCTGGTCAAATGATGGGGGTGTTATGGTGGCTGGTCAAATGTTATGGTGGCTGGTCAAATGTTATGGTGGCTGGTCAAATGATGGGGGTACTGTTATGGTGGCTTTCACATTTTATTGTTATTGTGACTTTCAAATGTTATTGTTATTGTGATTATAATGTAACAAATAAATAACTCGGTATTGAAACGATTTGTAACTTTTAATTTTACGTCACTGGATGCACACGTCATTATGTAATTAATTAACTGGTTGTCAATGTTAATTAGCTGGATTTCATTTTGTTGGCTTTCTTTTTTTTTCTATTGTTTGAAACATCTCCAGTGTTATCACAAAAGTTCTTCAAGTTTTTCTTTTTATCTTTCTTTTATGATGGTCGACAGAAGTACACGGTAATCTGTAGAGGAGAAATTTTTTGTTACATCAAGGTCTGCTGGGTAGCACCGTGTCTTGTACACGTCAACAAACTACACTTTTGTTTATCGAGACGTTTGTTCTCTCATTCTCGCATGTTTTAGCCGAGTGTTTACAATAGGTTTTGATAGTTTTTCTAAACAGTAATTTATCTAAACATGTATAAATATAAAGTAAAACGTCTCATGTAAACATGCAGTGAATGTTTGCTGTGAATGTTTGTTTACTGTGTGAGCAGTGATTGTTTACTGTGTGAGCAGTGAATGTTTACTGTGTGAGCAGTGAATGTTTACTGTGTGAGGAGTGAATGTTTACTGTGTGAGCAGTGAATGTTTACTGTGTGAGCAGTGAATGTTTACTGTGTGAGCAGTGAATGTTTACTGTGTGAGCAGTGAATGTTTACTGTGCGAGCAGTGAATGTTTACTGTGTGAGCAGTGAATGTTTACTGTGTGAGCAGTGAATGTTTACTGTGTGAGCAGTGAATGTTTACTGTGCGAGCAGTGAATGTTTACTGTGTGAGCAGTGAATGTTTACTGTGTGAGCAGTGAATGTTTACTGTGCGAGCAGTGAATGTTTACTGTGTGAATGTTTACCCTGACTGACCTCATCAATGACGCCAACAAAGTCCTGACATTCCCCACCTGCTCCAATGACCAGACCTCTATGGGTTCTCACCAGCGTACCTGTGGGGTGAAAGTGGCACTGTAGTACTCACGGTAAATTATATCAGTTTAGTACTCACGGTATTTATTTCACTATAGTACTTATGTTAATTTATATCAATATATTATTCACGATAATTATTTATCACTCGAGCACTCAAACTAACTTATATTACTCAAGTACTCACGGTAATTCATATACCTATAGTACTACTCGCATTAACGTGTAACACAATAATGAAATTAATATCTGCAGTGAGGTTTATACGAAACTTAATTTTAAAACATGGTATAATAAGAGGTAGAAGTACTGCTGATGTTGCTACTGCTCGTATCAATTCGTGTCATGTTATGACTACAGCCGTTGATGTTGTTAGCAAGATGTTGCTGTAAGAGAGAACGTATGGTCCGGCCATATTTACCTTTGATGTCCTGAGAGTTGGTGTTGGTGCCCACGTAGCCTTGAAGATGTCCCTTTTCCAGGGCATACATAACATACTGCCACTCGCCAACCTGTTGATCAGAACGTGGGAAATTATGGGATGGGAAAAGTTAATTACCACACACACTCACTTAAAATAACTGATTGATGATCCAACATAACATAATTGAATATTTTAGTGAAAATCCAACGTAACAACTAAATGATTGAATATTTGATTGAGAATCTAACGTAACAACTAAATGAATGAATATTTGATTGAGGATCTAACGTAACAACTAAATGATTGAATATTTGATTGAGGATCTAACGTAACAACTAAATGATTAAATATTTTGTGACGATCTAACGTAACAACTAAATGATTGAATATTTGATTGACGATCTAACGTAACAACTAAATGATTGAATATTTGAGTCATGCTCCAGCATTGGATGATTGAGGATCCAACATTACGACTTTAGAATAGGCTTCTGCAAGTATATTTTCAGGAGAGTTGATTTTCCCCTATCTTGGTTGGTGTTTTGGTAATTTTATTTGTTCTTGTGACTTATGACGTACTAGAACATCACCAGCACAACAAACTTCAGTGTAACAACAGGGACACTATCAACAAACAGCAAACAACATCAGACAACATCAAACAACATCAAACAACACCAAGCAACATCAGACACCATCAACCAACACCAACCACCACCAACCAACACCAACCAACACCAACCAACACCAACCAACAGCAACCAACACCAACCAACACCAACCAACACCAACCAACAGCAACCACCCTCCAGCTTACATGTTTAGACACTATAACTCGAGCCGGCGCCTTCTGTGCGCTGGTCAAGGCGTAGAACTGGACAGTGTCCTGACCTGCGCAGACGCCGATGGACTGGCTCTCCCCACAGTCACCGTTGGTGAAGATCGTCTGCTGACTGACGCCGGCAGTTTGTTTCAACTTGAGGCTGACGAATACTGCCAGAAAAAAAGGTATCTTTTAAAATCAATGCTCGAATCAAATGATTATCATTTACCAGAACACACGTATGTATAACGGGGGTCGCCGACAGTAATTATGTTAGCCGTTAAGATCAGCAGTTAAAAGCTTAAGTTGGGAGACAGGCAGATGGTTCTTCTTCGTTTTTAGTTGTAATGTTTGACATAATTAAGTATAGCGAGTAAACATGGTATGCGCCATATAAGCCGTAGACTTCGATTTCAGCCTGCTTTTCTTTTTGGATTTGCTTCCATAGCCTTTGTCCAACCAAAAACAAACTCCATTGCAGCAGTTTGATTTTGGAGTTTTCATTTTCTAGAAGGGTTGCTGTCCCCAGCTATCGATAATCATCTGCCCGGGGTTTCGAACTCGGAACTTTTTGTAGTCGGTTAATTTTAGGGATTGGCTTATGATTGGGATTTAGACATTTATAAATCGGACTAGTTGCCGCATATCAAACCCAACAAATAGGCTCAGTGTGTTGAGCAGGAGGGTGGAGGCTGACAGAAGCAAAGTTTACCCGTGTTTCCAAGCTCCATGTTAGAGAAGCCAGGGACGGTGAGCCGGGCCTTGCCGTCAAAGTAAGCTTTGCCGTCACGGAAGGTGACGCCGGTGTTGTTGACCCAGAACTGATTCTCCGAGAGGTCAGTGGCGCTGTTGTCATCAAAGGTCATCTTCAGGGCGGGCTTGCACTCGTCATCCTTGTCGACACTCTCGCTGTCGTCGTTATCTGAGCACAAAATGTCACATTTTAATCCAGTGTCGTCGTTATCTGAGCACAAAATGTCACATTTTAATTAAGTGCCGTCGTTATCTGAGCACAAAATGTCACATTTTAATCCAGTGTCTTCGTTATCTGAGCACAAAATGTCACATTTTAATTCAGTGTCGTCGTTATCTGAGCACAAAATGTCACATTTTAATTCAGTGCCGTCGTTGTTTGCGCACAAAATGTCACATTTTAATTCAGTGTTGTCGTTGTTGTGAGCACAAAAATGTCACATTTTAATTCAGTGCCGTCGTTATCTGAGCACAAAATGTCACATTTTAATTCGGTGCCGTCGTTGTTTGAGCACAAAATGTCACGTGAACCTTACCATTTAAGTACCGGCAATATCCAGGTATTTAGAACGTGAACCTTACCATTTAAGTACACAGAGCATTGACAGGTGCGTTGGTCGTAGCCCAGGGTAGCTGGACATGGCATCCTGAGCCAGGTGGCGCCGGTAAACTGGAGGAATCCGGTTCTGTCACCTGTGATGGGCTTTTGGTTTGGGCAGTTGTTGTCTGGGAGAACAGGTAAACATTGAGGAATGAAGGAATGAAGGAATGTCCGTGATGTAGAGTTTAAGGAATTAGGGAATGGCCATTATGTAGAGTTTAGGTAATGAATGAATGTCCATGATGTAGAGTTTAGGTAATGAATGAATGTCCATGGTCATATGTTAGCAGTGTCTCAACTGTCAGGCCTACAAATCTACTTACTGTATTCCGTCATCTCCAGCTTGTCAGTGCACCTGCAGGTTGACACGTCATAGCCCAGAGTTTTGGGACAGGGCATGCGCACCCACCCACTTCCGGTCAGTTGCAGGAACCCGGTCCTGTCGTTGGGGATGGCCTTTTTATCGTGACAGGTTTCAACTGGGGGGGGGGGGAGAAAGTAGTAAACTGTTACATTGTATTAGGAAAACAAAAAACAGAGAATAAGCGTGTAACGTTCGAAAACACTATTTACAAATATGCAGTATATATATATATATATATATATATATATATATATATATATATATATATATATATATATATATATATATATATATATATATATATATATATATATATATATATATATATATTGTTTTTGTTTTTTAAAAAAAGGGAAATAACTCACAGTTGCCATGACCCTCCCAGGTGTCAGTGCAGCCACAGGTGACGTCACTGTATGTACGGTCTGATGGACAAGCAATGCGGTTCCAGCTGTAGCCGTTGAACACCAGATACGCCCGTCTGTCGCCCTCTATGGTCTTGTGGTTGGGGCAGTTACCCACTGAAAGCAGGGATCATCCATTACACACAGAGGTTATTTCATCAGGGTAGATAACCACTGAGTTTAGAACACAAATAAATTCAGAGTTACGGGAAATTGTATAATTTTTTAATTACCTGTAACGCACTTGACATTTTCTTCAAAGTCACAGGTAAGTTTCTCCTGGTTCCAGAACGTGCCAGGTGAGCATCGTCTGATGTTGACCACGGTGGGGACATCGCCGTAATACTGGCACTGAATGTAGGCATCGCAGTGGCCAGGGAAAGGGGCGTAGCCAACTCCATGGAGAATGACACAATCCTTGCAGAGATCTGCACAGAAAAAACTTTTAAACTTCTGTCTATTTATTCTACACAATCCTTGCAGAGATCTACACAGAAAAACTTTTGAAATTCTGTCTATTTATTCTAAGCTTAGATCTATACGTTTCATTACACCGATACTCTAACTTAAAACGTTGACAATTCGGGTCACTCACTAAATACAAGATAAAAAGTTCTATAGCTGACGGAATGAAAACGACATCTAGTATATAATATATAGGCTATAAAAGTATAAAGTATTTTACCTATGCTTGGCTTAGTCGTGCTGGTCTTTCGTGTGGTGGTTGTCGTGGTGGTTGTGGACCTTCTTGTTGTGGTGGGGGTGGTGGTGGTCGTGGTTGGTGTAGTCGTGGTTGTTCTTCTAGTGGTAGTGGTTGGGGTAGTGGTGGTGGTGGTAGGTGTAGTGGTAGTTGTTCTTCTTGTAGTAGTGGTGGTGGGGGTGGTAGTGGTGGTTGTTGGTGTGGTAGTGGTGGTGGTCCTCTTAGTGGTTGTGGTGGTCTTCGGTGTGTAAGCTAGTGAGAAAGACAGAAACGAGTCAATTCGACATGTTAAAATAAAACACCCCAGAGAAATAAAGCAACAAAGTTGGACCAGACTACACCATGGTGTGACGTCTTACAACAATGAACACGGAAACTGTGACAGTAGGTTAAAAGATATAACAATAACTATGGTACTATAGATGCATGGTTTTATGTTCAGGAACTCTATGGTTATAGATAGGTGAACAATGGGTTCATATTTCAAGTAACAATTATAATCAAATGTTCATAAAACCAATGGTTTATAGTTAAATCTTACAAAACCAATAGGTTTCGGTTGAAAGCTAAAAAATGAGCGAATTTTCTCACCTGTTAGTCAAACTTTACAAAACGAACGAGTGAATTTTCTCACCTGTTAGTTAAACTTTACAAAACGTGTGAATTTTCTCACCTGTTAAACTTTACAAAACGAACGAGTGAATTTTCTCACCTGTTAGTTAAACTTTACAAAACGTGTGAATTTTCTCACCTGTTAGTTAAACTTTACCAAACGAACGAGAGAATTTTCTCACCTGTTAGTTAAACTTTACAAAACGAACGAGTGAATTTTCTCACCTGTTAGTTAAACTTTACAAAACGTGTGAATTTTCTCACCTGTTAGTTAAACTTTACCAAACGAACGAGAGAATTTTCTCACCTGTTAGTTAAACTTTACAAAACGAACTAGTGAATTTTCTCACCTGTCAACCTGATGCTGCAGGCGCAGGTCTCAGCATCGAAACCTAGACCAGGTGGACACGCGACCTTGACCCAGCTGATGCCGTCAAACTGCAGGAAGTAGCGGATGTTGGCCGGGTCAGCTTTGTAGCCTGAACATTGCTCTTCTGGTGGAGAGAAAGGGCAAATTATTTTTTTTTTAAATAACAGCTATTGGAAAGTCTATAAGACACTTAGAAACATATTATTTTAATTAATTTAATTAATATCATGAAAATGTTAGTGTTTCGTTTTTTTCCATAGTGTTAATCTGACTGAAAAGCCCATAGCGTTGTATCCAAACAGCCGACAAGAATCCCCGACTCACCGTCCGAGTCGTCGTCCTCCTCGTTGTTGTCCACCTGTGGGACGTTGGTGATTTCTTCCTGCTCCTGCTCTGTGTGCTCCGTCTGCTCCTGCTCATCTGACGTCGGCTCTAACCCCACCGTCTGCTGCTCCACGCCCTGATTACCGTTCAAATATTCCTGGATCTCTTCTACCTGCTCCTCGTCCAGATTAGCGGGAGATAATCCATGTAGAAGCCTGTAGTTGATACCCAATAAAAATAGGTTGCAGCATGCAAGGGAGACAAGTCATATTTGGAGAACAACAAATCCATCACCACAAGCTTTAACTTTACTTATTAATGAAATTACAGCCAACGCTTTGCTTCCTACCAGCTGCAACGTGCAGACTTGAGTTTAGCACTCTAATTTACATGAAAATTAATTTGGAAGTGGGGATTAAGTGGTGGGGTGAATTTTTTATTAATTTATCCAGAGGCTGGTTGCTTGTAATGGCTCCATCAGACAGAAAATAAAACTCCGGAATTAGAAATCTACCCAGGCTGCACTTATAGGCTACACACATTTTTTGCACGATTTATTTCTCCAATTAATCCATCTTTTACGTGAAATGAAACAAAATGAAATTAATTCTCCTACAAATAAAGAATCCGATACGAGGTGGAAATAAATCTTGGCACAGAATCCCACATTTCTTACATTTGTACAATCAAAGGACAGCCAATCTTGACATAAAAGAACATACAAGGAGAGCGAAATTTGATCTAATAGAACATAGAAGTAGAAGTTCGACGAAACTTGATCTAAAAGAACTAGAAGCACAGCAAAACTTGACTTACAAGAAGTTAGAAGGACAGCGAAACTTGACCTAAAGGAACTTACAAAGACAGCGAAACTTGACCTAAAGGAACTTACAAAGACAGCGAAACTTGACCTAAAGGAACTTACAAAGACAGCGAAACTTGACCTAAAGGAACTTACAATGACACCAAAACTTGACCTAAAGAACTCACCTCTTGATGTAGTCCAGCTGGGACTGTGAAAAGACGTATGGCCTGGATGTCGTCGTCTGCTGGTTGTAGTGTTGCATCAGTGTGGCCAGCCATGTGTTGATGGACTGGTCATCAGGCTCGTAGGAGAAATATTCTCCAGCCGTTACGCTCTGTAGAGCGGCGAGTAAAAAACTCGCGACGAAAAAAGAAGCGAAAATATGCTGGCGTTGACGCTGGTTGCCGAGATTCAACATGGTTGTAAAACTTGACTGGTTGCGATGGTTGGCTGGGAGTTAAAGATTCTCTAAACTTCAAATGGGCGGGTCAGGTCGTTTTTAAATTACAATTGTTTTGACCGAAATACTTTGCTTATTTTTTTCTTGTGTTTTCACCTCTAAATGTTTGACTTGAAAAATGTATCTGACCTGCCGCGCTAATGGTTCAAGTTTTCTTAAATTGACATCATTCTCTGCCTGGCTTTTATAGCGAGGGTCGCTAGTTGTCAGCCCCACCTTCACCCCTGCTCATTTCATCAGTCATCCCCTTTTTTATGTTTGGGAAAAACGGTTTGGTCGCGGATATCATTTTTGTCTCACAAGTTTAATGTGCACGGGAAAGTTTAGCCATGACGTCATACGAAGAAATGGCGGCCGCTCTGACAGGTAGGTCTCGTTAGATTTATTCGCTCGTCTATTTTTGGCGCAATCCCAGTCGCGTGAAATCTGGGATCTCATTAAGATGTTATATCTCATTTGCATACATTCGACAATCAGCAACAAATTTGGCGAGGGTTTAAACAAGGCGTGTTGAGGCAATAAATATCCCGCGTCAGAGAGCTAAATATCTAGATGACAGTGACAAACTAAGTGTCAGTGCCGGCGTCTGCCGATGCAACACGCAGTTGGCTGGGAATTGATGTCTGCGATTAGCTGAAACAGCGCACCCTCCCACCTGCTGGAATAATCTGGTTGGCGCCGTGGTGGTTGTGGTGTACGTTACAGGTGTGGTCAAGAACAGAAACGTCAGGTGGGTGGAGGGGGGATACGTGTGTAACTTGTTGTGACGTCTGCACTTTCACTGGATTGTCCAATTACGTCAGAACCGGTCCTAATTTTTAGCAAGGGTTAGGGTTCATGAGACCTCTGCGCGGGTCGATTGGACACCCCACTCAGGTTTGTTTGGTGAATCTATTGGACACCCCACTCAGATTCAGTGTTTCTACCAGACTTTTTTCTCCGGAGGGCAATTGAAATTTTCGGGGGGGGGGGGGGGGCGTTAGACTTTCTTCTGCAGATGGAAGGCAAATTATAATTGTGCTGTAGAGAGATATAGCCTACAATAAGAAATATCTAATTTATTTTTAAAATACAATGTAACAATATTGCACGGACAGTACGCAAGAATTATATCTATAAAATGCTACTAGATTCTAGTACCAGTACACTAAGGTGGGGTGGGTGGGTATCCTGTTCCACAACAGCAACCAATGTGATAAGATTTAATAAACTGGCGGATTTCCTTTTCCATAGGGACAACATCATTAATCACGAGCTTCTTCATGGGCTAAAAATAAACATATGACGTAATTAGGTAGGTTTAGGTCGAGGTGAAACTGGGCATGTGATGGTTCGCCCACAAGTTGACACATTCTAACGATACGCCACGGTCTAATGCTACGTCATGGTCTAATGATACGTCACGGTCTAAAGATACGTCACGGTCTAAAGATACGTCGCGGTCTAAAGATACGTCACGGTCTAACGACACAGCACGGACTAATGATAAGTCGTGTCTCATTTTCGGTTCATCGCTCGTTTAGTTTCTCTATGACACCCAATCACTCACTTTGTCCCTGTGATACCCAATCACTCAATTTGTCCCTGTGATACCCAATCACTCAATGGGTCCCTATGATACCCAATCACTCAATTTGTCCCTGTGATACCCAATCACTCAATTTGTCCCTGTGATACCCAATCACTCAATTTGTCCCTGTGATACACAATCACTCAATTTGTCCCTGTGATACCCAATCACTCAATTTGTCCCTGTGATACCCAATCACTCAATTTGTCCCTGTGATACACAATCACTCAATTTGTCCCTGTGATACCCAATCACTCAATTTGTCCCTGTGATACCCAATCACTCACTTTGTCCATGTGATACACAATCACTTCACTCAATTTGTCCCTGACTTTGTCTCTGTGACACCCGATCATGCAGTGTGTCCTAAATTTTTATATGCAGGTGGTGACTTATTTGTAGTACTTTGTAATGTACAGAACTAGAATTATAAACACGTGGTTCTATATTTTGTACTGTGTACCGTTACATCAGGAGTGCGAGCCATTTTTGCCTAACCTAGTTATTTCTTGTCCAAAACGTATTCAATCGAACATTTAATTCAAGTCCGGAACCGTATACCGGATATCATAGAACGTAAAACAATGTGGGGTGATAATGGAGACAAAAGGGGAGGGCACTGTGATTTATCTATTGTCGTCATCAACATTCTTTAAGTACAGCCAACTAGAAACTAACCATCCACCACAATTTAGGTACAGCTGATTGCGGATCTTGGCAGTTTTCCGTAAAGTTTTATGACCAAATATAAAATAGAGACCTTAGTACAATATGTTCCTTTTCTGTGTGCTGAAGGATTTCTGTACACACCAATTCCGATCTGTTCGGCTAAAATCACACCCCATTTTGAAAACTAGATCTTTGGAGAGGAGTTCACTGGCAAGAAACATTTACTGCTATGTAGAATAGTCAGTAGGGCCATGTGTGTGTATAATTCCATAATGCAGCTATTTAAAAAAAAAACAACTAATTATTTTCTGCCAATTTTGTCACCCCTAGGGTCTGCGCCTAGAGCGTCCCGCCTAGCCACGGATCCAAGAACATTTCAAGAGAGCCAAATATTGAAATAAATAAACCGGGAGTGATCTCCCCTAAACTTTCTCGAATATTCTTATATAAAACAACAGGGAACTCGGGATATAGTTATGATTTTTAATCCATTTTAAATACTCAAACTTTCAAAAATAGAATCTCATAAAAAAAAAAAAGAATTGCGCACTAAGCGAACGCCGAATAAAGATGTGTATAATAGTGCGGAATATTATTAGTACTTTATTAATTCACATGCGTTTTTTTGAGAAATCGGAAATAGCGTAAATTAGTACTTCCGGTCAACGGAAATTACAAAAAATTTGATAGAAGGTAGAGAATTAGATCTTTTACTTACATGTGAAATTTAATTTATCTATCTGAAATAGTACTCAAGTTATAGGCTTTTGAAAAATTTAAAGTACAAAAAGTACCACTTCCGTTTATCGGAAATCGCTCAAAAGTTGATACGGATCTACGATTTTGATAAAATACTTATATATGAAATTTCATCAAGCTGGTTGTAACGGTACTCAAGTTATCGTGTTTACACACAGACACACACACAGACATACGGACAGAATTGCAAAGTCCAGTTTTTCCGACTCGATAACGCATAAAACGCCAAAATGTTTATGTATTTATAATTTTTGCTTGATTAAAATAAGTCCTCTATACTCCGGATGTGATGAAGGACTGAGGTGTAAAACGGTGAAAACAGTCAAAATTTCATGTTATTTTTGTGCACGATTACAAGACTTTCTCTATACTTCGTATATACGAGAAAGTAAAAAAGGAATTGAGTGTAATTAACGTTGATATAAGTTAAATAAGGAAGAAAATTAAATGAAATTAATATTTCATCTGATGAATCGCTTCCTTAATTCTCGCGTTACACAAAGGTGTTGTGGCGACATCAAGGTCGTCTCTATGGCGACGGACGTCTAACAAAAGACGGTTATGGTCAAGGACGACTAAAATACCTCATCAATTTAATGGCAACACACTTCCTTTTTTCTCTCCAAACGCTGCTGTAATAAAATATTCCCTTCAGCCTATTGGTGGGGAGTTTGTTTTCAAGTCAGGGCCTTCAGGGCATGGGATGTCATGCGGTGTGTCATGAGATGTGTGGGTCTCATGATATCTTGCTGTAGAGATATCATGACACTGACACCATGATGTAGATAAGTTTCTTGACATCACTGGGTGGGGGAAGTCATGAGATGACAAGGTGGGACAATCATGGCATTAATGTCATATAACAACCTGCATCTGGTAGAGCCATCATGACTAGTATTCGTTTACATTTAATACAATAAATGACAAAATGAAAAAAAAAGTTTTTAATTTAAATGATAATCTTTTTAAAATAACATAAAAATACCAGACTTACAGAACTTACAGTTGAATGAAAACAAATGTCTAACATGTAACTATTGTAACAAGGGAAGTATCCTAACAACATGTCAATGATGTAGTTTTTGAAGCAGTTTTACTGGTAGTTCATTAATTGAATGCTTGTGCTACTATATAAATATTCATGTCTTCTAAAATTCATAACTAATTCTAATTAGTTTATTTTAAATGATATGCCCTTCCTACAGTTAGAACTGAATCCAGACAAAGACAAAATATGAACACATTTTAAAACCATTGATTGTATTGACATGAATCAAAGTTCTGCTGCTAAATCTGCAAGCTGTTAAATCTACAGGCTGTTAAATGCTCAGGTTGTTAAGAGAAGTTGAAGTCAAAAGGCCTGAAGTCTGTTTTAAATTTGCCAGCCAGTTCTGTCTCTTCATCTTTCTCTAGTTTACAATTTCTCCAGTCCACTCGCTCTGGCATGTTCAATATGGCTGGCTCACACACAGCTTCTCTATAGGGGAAATCACTGTCAATCTTTAAAGCTGGTTTATTTATTTATGGCTACAATAATAAATAAAATGGTGAGCAACTATGTTTCTATTATTACATCTCTTGGTATAATGATATACAGATACATAAAAACCCAAGTTCTTTAGGGATGTGAAAAAAAATCAAAACACCTGAACCTAATGTGTTCCTGGTTGGCCCAGTGTTAGCATCATCAGAGCAATAACACATTTTTATAGAGACTATAAAAGGTGCCTTTTGTTCCTAACTCCCAAACTGGGTGTAATTTCTAAAATATATAACAGAAGCCTCCCTCCCAAACTGAATGTAATTTCCAATATTTCTAAACTATATGACTAAAGCCTACCTCCCAAATTGCAGTGGGAATTGCTTTGAGATTCTGTGCAAACACCGCTCTCCACTAGGAAGCTCCACATAAAAGTAGGGCACCCCATCAGGCAAAATCTGAAGTTAAATGGTAAGAAAGGTATTTTTAAATATGACATATAGACTGAAACAATCAACGAGATTGTGGTGGTTTACAACTTACTTGTTTGAGATCGGAATGTTTTGGTATCTCCACAAGTTCAATGGCCTCAGCTTCAGCACAAGCCATAAATGTGTCCTTGACATCCACTATACAGTCTTGGGGAAAAGGAACTGCCTGAGATAGTATTGTACAAAAATTATTTATTTAGGACTTAAAAAAAGATAATTCTTGTTACAGTGATACCAAACGGCTACTACACAAAGTATTGTATGTAGTACATTATGTATTTCAACAAAGAACAGACACAGAATGAAATAGTTTACAAAGAAAATATATTTTTACCCCCCTCAGAAAAGTTACCCCTCACCCGGAGAAAAAAGTCTGAAAAAAACACTGAGCAGACATAAGTGAATCAATTCTTTCAAAACCTGACCCTCCATGGGACAGGTGATGTAGATTTCATCTGTTTCAGTGACCTCTGCATATGTTGGGATAGTGAAGTCAGTACTATGTCCAGCTGCCTTTACTTTCCCCAACTTTAGTTAGGTATCTATCAGAGCTGATTGGACTCAGCAACAGCTTATGGACTCAAGCACAGCATCCACATCCGAGACTTTTGGGTTAGCAGCTGTATGCCAAACAAACCAACTATGCTGGCCCTAAGTGACCTAATTTAGTAATTAGCTATCTTTTTTTTTAAAGTTTGATAAAACTGTTGAAATTTGTTTGGAATCATTTTTTATTAATAATTTAATTTAATATTTAATCCATCACAAATTCTTGGGTGCTTAAATGTTAGACATTAGGTGACCTCAATTTGATTCAGGTAAAACTGTTAAAAGACAGACACATGTACAGAGTGTGCTTTAAATACTTATCATTTCAGTCAATCCCTTTATAGAATCAAATATACAGTTACTTCTTGTTCACATTTAAATGTGTTTTTGAAACAACACACCAATGACTACAACACATTGTTTATCTTAAAATATAAGACAATCAAACTTGATCAAAATAAACCCAACAAAGAAAGGCACCAAAATCCAACCATGAATTACCTGAATTTGTAAATGCTGCGTTCTAAAGTTTCTCTCAAAGAAAACACAACTCTTGCCTTGTGATTTAAACATTTTACGAAGACATGCCTTGTATGTGAGGGTTAGGTCAAGGTCATTTTTTAACCAAATAAGTAGATGATTGAATGTAAACATCAAATTAAGCACAGCCATTTTGAATATTTTAAAAATAAATATGATCCATAATGTTTCAACAAAGGTTATTCAAAATGTGTATGAAAGGTTAGGACTTGAGATCTACCATAAATGACATCATGCACTTAAGGGGTGGAGTAACTGGTTTTTGAGACAATTCAATCTTTGATCAAAATGTAGATCGAACACTTTTTAACCTATATCTTGAAGTGTTTTCAAAGAGTGTAGAGTAAAAATATATTAATAATAATAACAAACTGTGATGGTAAACCACAAAAAAGATATTTGTCTATTTGCTCTATGACATCATCAGGACTTGAAACAAGGGATTGGTGATGGTGGACTGGCAGGATCAAAACATGGTCTGGAACTAAACCACCTTTAGCTAATGCTAAATAGGCCTGGAGGGAAACAAGATTCATCTTTAAATTAACATCTTAAACAGAACTTTAATTTAGTAAGAGAAGAGTATCACTCAGAAATTATCTCAACAAAAGTAACAGCAAACTATTTTAAGTTGGTAGAATTAGAATTAAAAAATGTAACATGGAATAAAACTCTAAAAGGTAGACGTTCCCAATGTGTAACTTTAAAAAAACGCACCTTATCACCAACGCTGACAACTAAATGTTTTTCAACTTCTGGACTACCTAAACAAAACCAACAGGCACCAGCTGGCTCATCTAGGAATATGGAAGCACTTTTTAAAACAATATTCATGTGGTGTATAAAGAAGATATATGACGACATTTTAATCAAAGTTTTAAATAAATTTACAATAGTAACAGAATTATTTTTTTGTTTACACTTGCATTAAAAATTGAATTTAATATCTTTTTGGTGAAATTGGTAAATATGTTTAAAAAAGACTATCTTAATCATTTCAATATTATGAGATTATTATTTTGTAAAATGTTGATTAAATAAAAACTTTGAAAATATTGCATACATGTTTTTCGTGGTCTCTTTTCATCATCATTCTTGTAACGTCTCTCATTTTCACCATCTCTTCCACCTCTTTCATTGCCTCTCCTTTTGCCTTTTTGATCTGGTTTTGCATTCATATCATAGAAAAACTGTTGACCTTTCTCTTCCTTTAATATTAACAAAAAATGCATTCAGAAAACGAGGAACAAAACAAAATTAAATAAAAAATATATCAAATTTTGACATACTTGAAACTATTATATATCATATATTTAGAAAAAACAGTAAAAACATTTTATATGCACACAGTCTGAACACAAATAAAATATAAAAAAATACATTTCATGATGAGCTTTCAATCTCAACTCACAATTTGTTTAGCATCAAAATGAAGTCCAATTTTACTCAAATTTTTAGTTAGCCTACATATTTGTCCTTAAAATAATACAAACCTGTTTAGAGTTTAAGACATTATTTGCTGTGTATGGGCACTCAGTGACATCTTCTGGCTGTTTGATTAGCTCTGCTGGGTCAAGTTTTGATAAAGGAACTATTGTGAAGGCATATAAGTACTGAAATAAAAATAAAATTAACAGTAATCAAAACAATACATTTTTCTTTAACAAATAAATATTAGAACTCTATTTAGTTATAAAATGTGAACTAAAATGTAGTTTCCACTTAAGAATTTAAAAGTCAAGATTTCTGAAATACATCAGCAACTGTGAGTTAAATTTTTTTTTTTTTGTATTGACCCTAACCTGACCTTTTGTTTATCTTTGTTAGCAACACTGGCCAAGCTAATAAACCTTGTAGTGTGTCTTGTAGCATCTAACAGGATGTGGTGGTTTCTGCATGGAGAAAGATTACATCATCACTTCTTCATTTATTTCTTTATAATTAATTTTTCATTAAGGAAATTTTACCTGTTAAAATATTGTAATCTATCAAAAGAAGTCTTGCATTTTTACAGCAAAAATGTAACCACCAATTTTAAGCTTAATGTTTCCAAAACAATGGATACCAAATAAAAACATAACCATACCTGTAAGGCTGTCTCTCATAAAATATGTCTTCTAGTCCTGCAAAGTGATAGCGAGGGCGAAGTACCCGGGCTACCTCAGATATACAAGGTGAGGCTGGGTATTTTTTCTCATGGTGGCTCTAAAAAGTTTTACAAAGAGAAACATCAGGTCTTTCATTTGTATTATCATTAGAAATGATAGCTTGTAAATGTTCCAGTTAATCAAAAACTGTACATCAATTTTATATGTAACTTTATGATGGCCAATTATGAGATAGAGCTTAAAAATTGCTAAATCTCTATATTTGCTAATAATAACTTACTAGAGTAGAACCATATTTTTCAACATCTTTAGGCCACTGTGAAGTTATAAAAATGTCAATGCCTTTAAAGTTGGTATCAGCCATGATAGGTGCTACTAAAGATTTTGCTTCTTCTGCTGTAAATGTGCAGTTGTCTCCCTTATCTGATGAACTCTCTAGCCCACTGAGGTAGGCCAACTGAAGACCTGATGATCCAGTGAACCTTCCTTGCTTTCCTTAGAAATTAAATCAAATATTTCAACATACTACTAACTAGCCCTAAAAATGTATATGAGGATGTATAGCTTTAGATAAATAACTTTAATAATGTAAGTAAAAAAAAACCCTTAAATGTAAGGATTATTAAATATATATAATTCTCACCAAGGTACGTAACTCCCTCACAAAGTTCAGCTCCTTTTTCATCATCATAGTAAATGGCAAGCTCTGGTTTAGTTGGCCCCAAAATTAATGTGGACAATGGAACTAAAAATAAAACAAGTGGTGTTTACAGATGAACTAGAAGGACATAAGTGATGACATCATAACTAAAAATTATTAATTAAATCAGCGTCTAAAATGTGAAAACTCGAAATTAATTAAATTTTTTTTTAAAGTAAAACAGTTTACAGTGTATTTTAAATGTTTATTAGTATTACAATAAAACCTTTAAGTTGTTTTGTCTTGTATGGTTCCCATGTTGACAAATCTGACCCAAAGAAGTCACCAACACATAAAAGAAGCTGAAAAATGATAAATAAATATTTAAAAAAAACATTAAAGAAAACTTTCTGTAATATTAAAAAGCCTATAAATTCGGTAAAATCTTGAGATCATTTACTCAGAGAGCAGTTAAAAATCAATTTAATTAAAAATAGTAAATCTAAATGATTGAGAAGAAATTGCAAATTCAAATGACAAAGTATTTAAAAACTATTTTTAAAACGATGTATGCTTAATGGTGAAGAATAGATTAGTTACAAAGACATTTTCTTAGTCTATTGTAAGGCTAAAGTTGATTAAATAATAATTATTCTATGGTAATAATTATGAAATAATGTAAATCTTATTTAATTAGCAACATTCTGTATAAACTTACATCAAAATTTCCACTCTTTTTTTGGATGGCCTGAACTCTTTTAAAAAGCTGAGAAAAATTTCCTTCAACATCTCCTGCTACAAGTCTGAAAGGAAAAAACAAAATTAATTAAAAAAAAAAAGATTAGAATTTTTAGAAATTATAATACTAAGATAATAACATACATTTAAAAAAGCCCCACTTACATTTTCAAAGGCTTAGCTGCCATTTTGTAAATGAGATGTTAAGCAGCAATTTAAACTCAAGGTAACCGTATGACTGAACGGTGTAATTAACTTATTGCTTAGTAGTCTTGCTTTCTTATCTACCTTAGAGAAAAATAATAGATCATATGTTTAATATAATCATAAAAATGAGAATTTTTTTTTCTAAATGTCTACCATTCGATTGGAAATAGTCAGATTAAGGCTATTCCCAATGGCAACAGTTACATGTTTAAAATGATGTGTGAGGTATGAAATTATATGGAACAATGCATGGCTGTCGACCAAGATACTGCGTGTTTGATTCCATCAGAAGATTACTTCTGTTTGGGGGTCATTTTAAATTCATAATTTTGATTTTTTGACAATATTCATGAAATGGTTACTTTGAAACTTTCATTTTTTTTTCCCGTCTTTTATTCACTAAATTCAACTAGTCTATATTGCATGAAATTATTGAAATGATAGTCAACTCTAAATACTAAATAAGGAATAATCCTTGGCTTTGGCTTAACTTAGGGGCTTGCAACCTAGCAGTAGAGAGCTGGACTGCTAACCCTTACATTTTGAGTTCGAATCCGGGTTCAAGTCAGTAGAACATCCCTGAGTCCACACTATCCCTTCATATGTCGAAATCTACTTCATTTGCCCCATAGACCGTCAGGTTTGAAAGGGAACTTTACTTACTTTACTTAAAACTATAGGCCATAGGCGTAATTAGTAATTAGTAACACATTAGGGCACCTAGAATCTAGGTCTAGGCCTATATATAAATATTATAGGCTAATTTAATATTATATTATTTTCGATAGGCCTATTTTTTTAAAAATTTAGGCTTGGCTTATTTTCAATGAGTACTAGTAATACTATACTATTGAATACTATCATAATTCATAATCATTACTATGTCTATCAACTATCAACGATCAGTCTGTCTGAGTCTATCAGTATGTAATATGTACTACTGGTATGATGTAGGCCTATTTTTTTTTGTTATCTATCGTTTTAGGTACGTAAAATTGGCCGCGGCTAGTAATGTACGAAAAAGTTACCTCATTGTCAAGGCTTTAATAGAAGTATATTGTGATATATTTGTGTCAAATGTTATAGATAAATGAATAATAAACCTAAATCAATGGCTAAATATTTCAATATAGACCAGAAATCTATATATATAATTCTCTTCTTGAGACGCTAGAAAACAAGAAAACAAGCTGTAAGCGCGCTCCTACCTCCCCGCCCCTACAAGGTCTGGTGAGCTTTGGTTCACGCTAAATGTTTACAATCGTAGAGACGGGTTTAGTGACGGCTATTAGGGGCAGATAATTTAGTTTGAAACAATTTTAAACTTAGGGGAGATAACTAAGAGAAGGCTGCTTTCACGGGGGGGGGGGGGGGTGTAGGGTAGGGGTTGGGGGAAAGGAGGGTGGGGATAGTTTCGTCCTTAACAACCTACTGATAGTGTTTTAAAGCAAATATTTTCATGAATTACTGAAAAGTAGAAAATAAAACAACTAAATAGCGCCGTATAATATGCCGCGGGTCGGCTCGTTAACTTTAAACAGCAGTGTTTGCGAGCAAGATTTCCTATGTAAATAGCAGCCGTTTGTAAAATAGAGTTGCCTTCCCCTGAATCTCGCGCTATAAGTTTACAAAAAAAGAACTTAAACAAGATGGCTGCTATAGATCTAGTAAATTATTTAGTAAATGAGCATGGTTGCATCTGTTGGAAACATTGCTAGTCTTCATTTATTTAATTCAATTGTTTAATTAAAACCAGGTACAAATATTGTCAAATGAAACAAGGAAACATTTTTGTATTTTTCAAAACATAATAAATCCTCCTCAAAATGTGAAATAATTATTGAAATTTAAGGAGTCACCTGTTTTTCACATTACTAGTTCTAGTCGCGGGCGATTTTACGTACCTAAAACTCCAAAAGGATTACTTTTTTTAAAAAAAATTAGTTAAGTATTTAAGTATATATTATATTATATATATAGATCTAGGGGGGGGGGGGGGCTAATAATTAGTCATTATATAATTATTTGGTAATCTATCGTTTTGGGTACGTAAAATCGCCCGCGGCTATTAATGTACGAAAACGTTACCTCATTGTCAAGGCTGTAATAGAAGTATATTGTGATATGTTTGTGTCAAATATTATAGATAAATGAATAATAAACCTAAATCAATGGCTAAATATATCAATATAGGCCCGAAATTAACTTTAAACAGCAGTGTCTGCAAGCAAGATTTGCTATATAAACAGCAGCCATTTGTAAAATAAAGTGACTTCCGCCTGAATCTTGCGCTATAAGTCTATAAAAATAAAACTTTAACAAGATGGCTGCTATAGTAAATGAGCATGGTTGCATCTGTTGGAAACATCGCTGGTGTTCATTTATTACTGAAAAGTTTTAATTCAATTGTTTAGAAACAGGTACATAAATGAAACAAGGAAACATTTTTGTATTTTTCAAAACAAAAATCCTCCTCAAAATGTGAAATAATTATTAAAATGTAAGGAGTCACCTGTTTTTCACATTACTAGTCGCGGGCGATTTTACGTACCTAAAACGATAGATTACCAATTTAATTTACCAATTATCTAAATTACTTATTTATTAGGCCAACCTACTTTAAACTTTAAACTTACTAGACTCTACTTACTATTTAGAATCTAGATCTAATATAGATGTAGATCTAGATCTAAAGTAAAGTTTCATTCATAATTTTCAAAAAAATATAGATCTAATTATTAATTATTATAATTCTAATGTATTTAAATTAATTTTACTCAGTTTCTGAAGAGACATGGGCGCAGACATATTTTTAATACTGCATTTAAAGGTCATAGGTCAAAATGCCAAATAAATATTTAATAGTCTATTAAAATACTTTAAAATAATATTATATTCATTATAATATTGCAGCCAGAGTCCATATATATATATATATATCTAGAATTCTATTACATTAATAAGAGTAAATTTTGAATTTGTCGTGTTTTAAAATTATTACATCTAGATCTAGTAGATCTAGTATCCAAGATATTTGATGCAGAACTTCTATGTTTATAAATGGTTGTACAGTGACATTCCGTAGAATTCCGTTGGTTTGAAGTGTACCAACACGTTTTTGTAGAAACATAGTCCTAAATTAGTGACTGACCGTCTATATTCACAAAATGACTAATTCATACGGCAGCATCGCCTGGTGGGGTTTTAGTCCGGCATTAGATTTGCAAGAAACTGGTATGCCTAGACTCCTAAAAACCACTTTTAAACTTTTATTTTACTTTTAAAGTAAAGTAACATTAGCCTTTAACTAAATCTAAAACTAGATATAGATCTAGTACTGCTCTACTTATTGCAACTATTGCTACTTGTACTAGACATCACCACTGCTACTATGAGATTTAGGCCTATAATTTAATTTTTTTAGTGACCATCATCTCTAGTTAAACTAGTAAGTAAAGTACCTTTTTGAACCTTATGGTCATGGGGCAGGTGAGTAGAGTTCACCTGTTTCACTGACCTCAACACTATCCCCAGCCACCTATACTTTCCCTAGTGTAAAGAAACGTGAAGCAGGTACCCATCAAAGCAGGGTGGATTCACAGTGGCATGGTTATGGTTCAAACTTAAGCCCAGGATTCGAACTTTAGACTTTCAGATTAGCAGTCAATTGCTCTACTATTTAACCACATCGTCCAATGATCATCATCTAGATCTATATCTCATTCTTTTATTCTGAATTTTGTATTTTCCAGGTTTTCAAGAAATGTGCAAAAAATTATCATGTGCTATGCCAGGTATTTTAATTTCTTCACCTTTTAAATTTTTTTTTCTCTCTTTTGAAGTTAGTCAGCAAAATATAATGAATATATATATATATATATATATATATATATATATATATATATATATATATATATATATATATATATATATATATATATATATATATATATATATATATATATATATATATATATATAATATTGTAAGTTAAAAGTAATGTAGAAAGCTTTTTCTTACTTTAAATGTTAACTTCTTTAGAAGAGCTTAATATTCTTCTTGTTGGAGCTGGAGATGTTCGTCACATATTAAAAACAGTAGCTAGGAGATACAGGCATTCCAATAGAAAACTCAGGGTAAGTATTTTTCTTTTACCTGTACTGTTTGTTTATTTAGTTATCAGTTTTGTAAAATCCATTTACATTTTATCAAGGTGAATTTTTAGCCAGTACAATTATTCAACCAATTACCAATGAAACTAAAATTCAATTTTAAAAGAATCATAGTTTTAAAACTTTTTATTCTTTTTAGTTTTATATTTTAGAGCCATCTTTGGAACTTTATGCAAGGGACATCTTATTATTGATGATATTTCTTGAAAATCAACAAAATTATGGATTACAGGGTAACAAAATCTGTTTATATATTATATACTAAAAAAATGGACATTGTTTCATTGTAATAGTTTTGTGTGTAAGAATTTGTTCCCTGTGTTTTCCAAGCTAAAGTAGACTTAAATTTTAAAACGTGACTATTTTTAAGAATCATTACATATAAAAATATCATAATTTATCACTTTTTTTCAAGTAATGTATAACTTGGTAAAGTGCGAAAAATATATTTAGAATGAGTAGAACTTAGTGATTAATAAAGTGTGTAACTATTTCAGAAAAGACAGAACTATTCTTAGAAGTTTATGGAAATACCCTTGTTCGTCGACAAACTAGTCAGTATATTGAGAAGATGGCACATGAGTTAATTTTGTAAGCTGTTACTATTTTACTTGTAATTTTTGCATTTTTGACTTTATTTGATTATAGATGTAGAAATAGCAGCGACTCAAATAAGAACATCAGTAATAACAAGCTCAATAAATTTTGTTTTTCAGAATGGTAACAGATTTTGAATACATGGCAAAAAAACTTGCCTTCATTAACTTAACACAATTAAAGGTAAGATTCTATCTGGAAATATTTATGAAGTTGTTCTTTTTGCATTTTTACAGCTACTAACTAAAACAGTTAATATGTTATTTAAAATATATTTAACAATTTTTGTAGTATAAAGAAAGAGATTATTTGGAGGGAATCCTAAAGTTTTGGCGAAACAAAGAAAAGAAATATCCTTTTGAAATTAGTAAGTGCTGGTAAGTTTTTTTTCTAATATAAATATTTTTATAAGATATAAAAAAAATTGTATTATGAAATAATAAACGCAGAAACCTTTTTAGATGTTAATGTACTACAAAGGTATATTAAAAGGCAAAAGGCTGGGAATTGCAATTAATCACTTGATTGCTTAAATTATTATTAGTAATTTGTGTCTTGTTAGTTTATTCTAAGAAAAAATATTCCTGGTAATTCCAATTTAGGATAGTAATAATTTGAAAGAGCTACCTTGGTTTTTATCCTGTGATTATCTCTAAGATTTTGTATCTGTACATTCACCTAGAATAAATATTTTACATATTATGATTATTTGATAATTTTTACAGGGATTTAAGACTCCGCCAACTTCTAGGAGTCAGATATGACAGCCGATTAAATGTTTTTGACTGGGACTACAATATGGAACTCATTGAGAGAGGGGTAAAAATATCTAATTCATAATGAAGTTCGTAGATTAAATATCTTTATATTTTAAAAGTCTACATTTCTGCTACATTTACATACTTTTCACTTAATTAGGGTTCAATAGTTTACATCAGACAATACAAAGACTGGAGAGACACTGGTGTGGCATTTAAAATAAGAGAAGGAACTTATGATGTACCAAACAGAACTTTAGCCTCAGCCATGGTTTTTAAACTTGTAAGTACTTTTATCAAAGAAAGCATTTGGAAGCAGGTGTAGTGGCAGAAGTGTCCGTAAGTCAGTGGTTGTTTTATTTCAACCCTTTACCGTAACAATACAAATGTACATATAAATAGTTACTATAAAGAGAAAACAGTATAGTCCGATGGAATCCAAAGCCCATTGGTGTCACCCGGTGCGACACTTCGTGGTGTCAACCCCCCCCCCCCCCCCAAGAAACAAAGTGTGTATATATATATATATATATATATATATATATATGCCAACATAAGCCTATAATTTAAATATATGACACATACGCGTACATTTATGTGTATAAACTTTAATCACTGCAGACATAATAGTAACGATGTTTATCTTTAGTCTTTTAATAATACAATTGGATGTAGCAATTTTTCTCTAAAGTTAACGCTGTTTACGTCATGGTGTCACCCCTCCCCCTTGTAATAATAGTCTATTTGTACTTAAAGACTATTTAACTTTAATTAACTATTAATTGAACTGGCAAAAAGCATTTTTCCTCTGTACATTTTGCAATTTTTTGCCTTGGTGTCACCCCTCTTAATGGTGTCACTCTGTGTCACCTTGCTATGCCTCTGCCAAGGCCACTATCCCAAAAGTAATTTAAAGTAACTTAATTACAGTGTATACAATTTGGTTAACTGGACTTTAAAATTTACCTTATGTTTCCAAAGAAAATGGCTTTCTCTATCTAACTTTTAATTTATGAATACTATAAAATAAATTTTCTAAAACTTAAAAAATTACAGGACGGTGAAAGGTTTCCACGTAGAGGCTACTGGGGTGACATGCTAGTCTCACCATACATAACATTTGGAGTTGAAACAGAAGAGAAATCCTTTTATAAAAAACAAAACAATAATCACATTAAGGTATGCAAAACATTTTAACTGATCTATTTTGCAGTACATTACAATAAATAAAATTAAAAGCTGCATATTTTATTTATATGGTTTTTTCAAAGCATCATGTATTAGTAGTAAACATTTTTAATCCGTTTTTATTAGTTTACTTCTTGATTGGTGGCTGGAGCTGTCACAATTTCTTTATTTTAAATGTTAAAAAACAAAACCTTTGATAACATGCTGGTCACTAGTGAAATTAATTTTAAAAGATATTTTAAAATATATTTAAAAGATATAGTACAAATATTAGGTATCAATAATACACACATAAGCTTTCTTTAAAAAATATTTAACCTTAAGAAGTACAAATAATTAATTTCTGATTAATTAGTCTCCCCAATTAGCCTATTAATAAAACCTGCTACAACAAAATGGCATATAATTCAAAACTGAGAAATTAGAATTAGAGATCCATTGATAGAACTAAATGATATGAAAAATAAATTGAAAATTAATAAAATAACTAATAATATAATTTAAAAAATATTTCAGACTGCTGAAGATGTGTCAGAGTTCAATATCACTTCCCTATTTTACGAATTCACAAATAAACAAAAATACCAACTTCCCCAACCTGAGCCTCAGACAGAGAAATCCAGTGAAGCTCCTAAGTTACAAGGTCAGAAAACAGTGTCTGCATGTTCTCTTTACCTTGTTATTGCACAGTTTAAGTTTGTGTACTTTAACTACTGAAACAAATATTAAATTTCGATTGGCTAAAATGTCATTATAGTTGAAAGGTTTAGCTTTTGAAAACATTAAACCTACCACCTTCATAAGTTAGGGGGAAATGATTTTTTTACATTTTTGGGGATGAAGTGGCCTAGAGGTAGAGCTAGACTGCTAACCCATAACTCTGGAGTTCAAATCCGGGTTCAAGTCAGTAGACCGTCCCTGAGTCCATCCAGCTCTGATGGGTACCTAACTCATGTTAGGGAAAGTAAAGGCAGCTGGGCATAGTGCTGACCACTCTATCCTTTCATATGCCAAGGTCACAGAAACAGGTGAACTCCACTTCACTTGCCCCATAGATTTGAAATGGGAAAATTACTTTAATATATATAAGCTTGTACAAATGACATTATTGAAATGAACTTACTAAATGGCTTGAAAATTGACAGAGATAACAGAAGAAGATGAAGAGGAGCAAACAACTGCAGAAGATGGACAGAGTGAATTGGAAAATGATGTGGATAAAGAGAAAAATAATATTGCTAAAGATGTGGAATTAATGGACAAGAAGGAAGCTGTTGGAGACACAAATGATTCCAACAGCTTGCAGCACGACCAAGAACCACAGGAGAATGTAGACAATTTGGATAAAAAAGAAATAAATTGCAATGACAACAAAAGCTCTACAAGTTCAGAAACTGAAAAAGATGATCACGGTAAGAATTATAAAACACAGTTCAGTGATGTTTACTTAGGTTGAACAATTGTTAATTACATTGTTTCTATGAATTGTAACTACACTTTAAAATATAATTTCAATTACTGTTAAAATTTTGGATGTTTTGGATGTATTAAGTTTCTAATTTACTATTAAACAGAATGGATGCCCTTAGAAGATGTGGAAGTTGTTTTCCTACCGATGGCTGGTATTGAAGAGCTAATGAAAAAGGCCAAGTACAACAAACTGTTCAATGTTGTATATTTTTCTAACAGGTACTAACTTCCTTCTCTATTATTTAATCTTAATGGAAAAATTGCTCCATTTTGAGTGTGTATAATTATATGTAAATATCTGGGAAATTACAATAAAATCTATTTTACATTTGAATTCTTAAAAAATATTTTTTCAGCATGGTTCATCACTTAAAACCAGATCTTGCAAATATTTTTGCTGACAGATGTTCTGTTATTTTAGAAACAGCATTGTAAGTCAATTTTAAATCCAATATTTGTATCCTCTTCAATTTTTTGTTTTAAATATTTAGAATCTAAAATGTTCTTGACTATATTTGATATGCAATTGTATTCAGAATAATTAAAAGTGATATTTTAATTGCAATTATATGTTTTGAAAAAGGTTTATGCTAGATATCAAGAAGAACACAGTTCAAGAATTTGTGAAGAAAATCTCTCAAATGGCAGAGGCTGCTGGATGTAAGGTATGTTGGATTTTGGTTTCAATGTAAGATCATGACTTAATATAGGTTTATGTTGGTGTAAAGATAATTGTATGTTGTAAGATGATTTAGGGTTAGTTGAATGTTAATGTTAGGGTATGTATGTGGATTTAAAGAGGATAATAAAGACATGTATTATAGTACATGACAGTCAATTGAGCAGGCGAAGAAGAGTCCATCTGATTCTATGACCTATGACTTTGGATGATCACAAAAATCTGATGGTTCCTTCAAAACTTCTAATGTACTAATTCAATAACATGTATTGTATAGATGGACTTTGTGTACAAAGCCATTCTAACATTTTAGGCTAGAATAATAATCTGTTCTCATTTAAATTAGAATGTTATTAGGAAAATAAAGAAATTATTGTTTAAGTTAAGCGTTATATTTTTACAATTTTTATGAGCTATATTAATTTTTTATTTAGTGTAAAAACTATCCTACTGTTTTCTCTGCCAGGACTAACTATGGCCATTACTTCTCAACTAGAATTTTTTTCCTACCTCCCTGTGTACATTTCCTTATAAGTCCACCAGTTTGTGTTGTGTGTTTAACCTGACCTTTCCATTGTTTGACCTAGAGCTTAAGGAAAGCCCTTTCTTTTCACCTGTATGTTTTCTGCCTAGGTTAGTTCCACTATGGGCTGTTATTTGTTAATGATCTTTTGTTAATGCTACACATTGTTTACACTCCATGTTTATCTTTTTTTTACTGCAGCCATTAGAAGCCTGGGATGATTTACAAGATTCATATATCAAGTTTTATTTTGAAAGGGGAGCTAATCCATAACAGGAAAATATGGAGAGAGTACTTCACAATGTGACTCACTTTATTTGATGATACTCATCAGCACCCATTAAATTAATCAATTTGATTGCAATATAAATGAGTGTGTGTACAATGTCATGGCTAGAGATGTGTACACCACAATGTTTTGAATATGGTTTATTAAACTGTCCAACTTGAATATTTGTTATGAGGTGGTTCTTTCTTTTTGTTCTTTTGTACTGAAAACAAAGCACATTTCCCCCTCACTGAGGTATGGGAACATTTAGTGTAAATGTGGTAGGCCTACACCCAATTAGTGAACAGCCACATGAGTCATTAGCACTAGCATTATTGCTCATTTGCAAGGCTACAAAAAAACTAATTCACAAGCTAATTATACTTGATTAATTTAGTTAAGGGTGCTTTACAGATCGACTTCTATATTATAGTGTGTGTAGCATTTACTCCATAAACATGTAGGCCTAACTAATCTGTTTAAAATGTGAATATTTGGATATATACAATTATACAATAGAGACCTATGTATGATTATATGTATGTATGTATAGGCTATATAAAGAGACATGACACACACATCAACACTCTAATAGGCCAACTACATGCTATTGTGTTGGTTTGTAGCCTTAAAAGATATGACGAGGGTTGGCTGAGGGCCAGTACCTCCAAGTCTATTTGAGTATTTTGAACATTGTAACTGATAAAATATGGGTTCATCATCATTCTGTTTTAGTCTATTCAGCATGGGTCTACTAGCAGCCTATAGTACTTCACTTGCCTACACCTACAAGCTCACAAATAAGTTTTAAATTGACAAGTGGCGTAAGCTATTTCCCCCTTTTGGTTTTCGCTGGCTGTAGATCTATCTATAAGAGGTTATTTGTATTATAATAATACATTGTGGCCGGAATATCGACCCGGTTTCCCCACCCTTCGCCCCAGCAGACTCATTAGCCTATTCATGACTAATGCATGAGGCCAGCCCCCAACCAATGGCGATGGAGGCTGCCAGGACATTTGTAATATTATAATGGTGGCCGGGGCCGCGCCACCTCGCGAGCCTATAAAAGCCGGCGCACCATCACGTAACACACTTCCTCTCACCTAGACTCCTCAAGTCGCACTGAGAGTTTGAAACAGCCGTGTTAATTCTCATTTGATCACGTTTTAAAACAAAACAACAAAATGGTAAGTTCTTATATCAGTTCTTGTATTTCACTTATACTGGCCATAGCCCAGCTTGTACATAAATAAACCTTCTAGCAGATCTCAGCGTTTCGTTTATTGATACCAGCTCACTCAATGTGTGACTCACTTTCTAAAATCAATAGACGACTGAGTCATCACATTCATTAGCATACCGATTATAGATTCAGGCATATAGGATTCTATCTAGGACATGTAATGGCCATGTTTCAAATCATTTTGTTAATAGTCATACTCAGACCTACAAGAATAACGTAGATGTATAAAACCTACCGCGCCCCCTCTCCATACTCAGCCTCCCCCCCCCCCACTCCACAGCCGCTTTAAACGAGAGCCGACAGCATGCTGTTTATACGAGCTTTGTATTTAATACACACTACAGTTAGAGATTAAAACATTAATTCCCATGTTGTGAAAACCCACGCGATAGCCTCACAATTCATTCATTGCATTGGGGGGGGGGGGGGGGGTACCATGGATCAGATGAACAACATAATCTATCTAGTAAAGACGTTGTTAATTACACCCACATTTTTATATGGGTAGAACAACACGCGTCAACCGCCCCTCTCCAACGTGATAAATGTCACAGTAACCTAGAAATGCCGGTTTGGAGGCAAAGGCATACATGCAGCCTAGTTGGCCAAATAAGTCATTAAACCTTGAACAAAATGTTCAGACCGGAAACTATACAAAGTTAGATGCTGCTCACGTGTAAACCTTTGATTAAACTAACCCTAGTTGAGAAATATTCGGTCTGCCTTAAAAGTTAAAGTTCACAAGTAAAGCCTTTAATACGTAGACGGTAAGTGCGGACAGTCACGTGACTCGTTAAGAAGGGACATAACTAATGGCATACACATGTATGTTACACTTTTAATAAATTAAACTACCTAATATTAAATATTTAGCATTTAAAAATATTTCGAAGATAACCAAAAGTTATTGTTTATAACACGTTTTATTATTCCAAATATAACTTTAAAAAGATTTAAACCACAAGTACAATTTACAGTTTTATTGTTGTAGATTACTTCAAAATATTACCTCCCTTTTTTCCTTTCAGCGTGAGTGTATCTCTGTTCATGTCGGTCAGGCTGGAGTGCAGATGGGCAATGCCTGCTGGGAACTGTACTGCTTGGAACATGGAATTCAGGTGATTATACTTGTGGTTTTACAAAACGTCTCTCTTTTAAATAACAACAACTGGCGAACACAATCACATTTAATATATTTGATTTGTTGCAACTTGGTCTACATAAACGTTACAAAAGTAACAGCATGCATGATAGACATTAGGATAATACAGAGCATTACTAGTTAGTAATATGTAATTTATTGGGGAGGTTAAAAAATATAATTCTCTCATTTTTATTTTATTTTAACCAACATAGCCTGATGGACAAATGCCTTCAGACAAAACAATTGGTGGTGGAGATGACTCATTTAACACATTCTTCAGTGAAACAGGATCTGGCAAGCATGTCCCCAGAGCAATATTTGTTGATTTGGAGCCTACTGTTGTTGGTGCGTTTTGGCATATTACCCCACATTTAATTATACTTATACTTCTTATTTAAAAATATTTGTTTTTGAAATTTTTTAATATAACTTACATAACTGAATCCTTAACAAAACTCTAAAATATTTTACATTTCATTGCAGATGAAGTACGTACTGGTATATACAGGCAACTGTTTCACCCAGAGCAGCTGATAACTGGTAAAGAAGATGCAGCAAATAACTATGCTCGTGGTCATTACACAGTGGGGAAGGAACTCATTGATCTAGTGCTTGATCGGATAAGGAAACTGGCTGATCAATGCACTGGTTTACAAGGTTTTCTAATTTTTCACAGGTAAGCTCACTATTATAACTCTCACACTATTCTGGTATTTCTTGGAAAATTAAGCCTACTAATATTCCTTCTTTGATATTGTTTTTTAAAATACAATTAAAGGGAAATGAATTATACATATAAACAGTATTAGACTATATTCCGTCTTTGACACTGTTTTTCAAGATAGGCCCTACAGTTAAAGAAAAACGATTCTTACAGATAAACAGTAGTAGCCTATATTTCTGTTACATCTTCTAATTACTTAGCAAATATTTATTGTTTTAGAAGCTTAGTTGACTCTTTTTATATTAATTTTAATGACAGCTATGTTACATAAAACTATAATCAGAACAATGTTGCACCTTTTAGCTTTGGTGGAGGCACTGGGTCAGGTTTCACTTCTCTTCTCATGGAACGTCTCTCAGTGGATTATGGGAAAAAATCCAAACTGGAATTTTCTGTTTACCCAGCTCCACAGGTAATGATAAAATAGTAATTGAAGTTTTGATTATTTCCCTTTGAATTTTTGGTAATTTCCCTTTTAACTTGCTAAATGAAAAAAATAAGGTGTTTTCCAAACCTTTCAACAGGTGTCTACTGCTGTTGTTGAGCCTTACAATTCAATTTTGACAACTCACACCACATTGGAACATTCAGACTGTGCATTTATGGTGGACAATGAAGCCATTTATGACATATGCCGTAGAAACCTTGACATTGAACGACCATCCTACACCAACTTGAACCGCCTGATTGGTCAAATTGTCTCCTCCATTACAGCTTCCCTGAGGTACCTCACAAGTTTTATTTATAGTTTCACTCAATAAAATTGTGATAAATGTAAAAGAACAGGATTATATTGTTATAAAAGAATGTAATATTTTTATTTTAGATTTGATGGTGCTCTAAATGTGGATTTGACAGAATTCCAGACCAACTTGGTGCCATATCCACGTATCCACTTCCCCCTAGCTACTTACGCTCCGGTTATTTCTGCTGAGAAGGTAATACTTTTAAATGAGCTGACCTTTAATCTAATCTATTCAACTAGTCCAGGGGTCTCCAAACTATGGGCCGCAGGCCGGATGCAGCCCGCGAAGTCCTCTCATCCGGCCCGCGGAGATCTTTTTGTCCAAGGAAAAAATCGTTGGTGATAGCTAATGAACTTTGGCCTGAAAAACCAAAGACATGCCCGGAAGAAACTGGCCCCTGAACGAAATTTGATAGTTAATGCGGCCCTCGGATTGAAAAGTTTGGAGACCCCTGAACTAGTCATTTAAAACAGGACATTATTTAGTCTTTTCTTAACTAAGACAGGCATCTAAAAATAACCAATGTTTAAAGTTTGCCTTTTAAAAAGTTCATATATGATTATATTAAATTCAAACATGTGTTGTATGAAAACTACTGTTTGTTGTTTTTATCACCACTGATATTACATGATTCTGAATTTTGTTTTCTAGGCCTATCATGAACAATTGTCAGTAGCTGAGATCACAAATGCTTGTTTTGAACCTGCCAACCAAATGGTGAAGTGTGATCCTCGACATGGAAAATACATGGCCTGCTGCATGTTGTATCGTGGAGATGTGGTTCCCAAGGACGTCAATGCAGCTATTGCCACAATCAAAACAAAGCGCACTATCCAATTTGTGGACTGGTGTCCAACTGGATTCAAGGTTTGGAAAATTTAGTAACAATAAATTTGTCTTAACCTCACTCTCATAGAAATCCAATTTTATTTTAACAATTTTCTTTGTAATAGCTGTATAAATAGTTCTGTTTAGTTTTTTAATTTTAATAAGATAAACAGCATTTCTAGATCAGCTGAGATTTTATAATGATTTACAAGGAGTCTATAGTTTTAAGGTTATTTCACATCAGTATTATGAAACAAAATTAACTATTATTTGTTTGTTTTTTTAACACTCTTTAGGTTGGCATTAACTACCAACCTCCAACAGTCGTGCCTGGTGGTGACTTGGCCAAAGTACAAAGGGCAGTATGTATGCTTAGCAACACAACTGCCATTGCTGAGGCCTGGGCTAGACTTGATCACAAGTTTGACCTCATGTATGCTAAGAGGGCTTTTGTCCACTGGTGAGTTGCATGTAACAGAAATGTTATCATACCACTTTCTCAGCAGTGTTGCAGAAAATCTCATTCTGGGTAAAACAAATTATGCATCACTCTACCAACCAGAGAGCTTATTGCAGTTTAGGGGCAGAATTTTTTTTTTAATAAAAAATGTTAATAAATTACTATACAGTATATTTTAAAGAAATTTGATTCTAAATGCACTACATGATGTTTACTAATTAACCTTTTTACCATAAATGTTTTAGGTATGTTGGTGAGGGAATGGAAGAGGGTGAGTTCTCTGAGGCCCGAGAAGATTTGGCTGCCTTAGAAAAAGACTATGAGGAGGTTGGTGTTGATTCAGTTGAGGCTGAAGAAGGTGAAGAGGGAGAAGAATACTAGAGGAACCAAGATGTTGTTTTAGAAGAAACAATTTTGACCAAAAATCTACAATTATGCCAAGGACATTTTTAAAAATAATTACATTTTTTTTATGCTGTCCAAAAAATGTTTTCCTACCAAATTTGCATTTAATTAGCATTCCACATTGTTGTTTTGTTTTGAATAGAATCAAAATGGAAATTTTGTTTACAGTCAAAAAGCTTGGCACAAATAAAAGCAAATTTTAAAACTAAAATTGTGTTAACTTTGTTCAGGTTGCACAACTTAAATTTTTTGTAGTAATTGTGATAAAGATTTATTATAAAAAGTTTAAGAAAAAAAACACTATTGACATTTTGATCTTAGGTCTATCCATTCATTTGAAGATTAACAATACAAAAAATACAAGGTAGGCTAATATTATTGATGTGATAAATGTATAGAACATCTTTATATACTTTTACCAGTGTCATTCCCCCCCCCCCCCCTTGAGAAAAAAAATCTGAAAGAAAAAATGCTCTCATGATAATTGATATAGCTATACAAATTAAGAACAGAACATAATAATGAAAATAAAACTATAAAACAGTCAACTTTTGGGGCTAATTCTTTCCAAATTGTTTTTCCCAACTATTTTTGGTGGTGGTGGGTACCCACCTAAACAATCTTGCAGAATGCATATTTTTCAAATTAGACTATCAACTATCAAGCATTGAAGCACTGAGTCTTATAAACTGATTTGAGATATTAATTCTTCACTGTTGTGTCACACTGTAAGGGTGTGGGATGCAAATTGCACTATTTGACATCATATAGGAGCTTACACCAAGGGGTCGTCCATAAATGATGTCACACTCGTAGGGTGGGGGTCCGTAATTTTGTGACGGTGTGTGATGGGGGGGGGGGGGGGGATCAGATGGTGTGACGTTACTTTTTTGCATTATAAAAAAGCAATGTCAGAAAACGTGTTTTAGCCGTTATTTCGCGTTTTAGAAAACGGTTTTAATAAATTGTAATAGGAATTGATCAAAATACTCTATGTTGACAGAGTTCTGACAAGATTTTGGAAAAAATATCGATGTTTTAAGAAAAATTCAACAGCAATTTTGAGGGGGGGGGGGGGAGGGTTGCTGGCTGAGGTGTGACGTCATTTTAGGGGGGGGGTCTGGCTTTTTGTGACGACGTGTGACGGAGAGGAGGGGGGAGGTAAAAATCGTCAAAAAAGCGTGACGTCATTTATGGATGACCCCCAAGACAAAAAATTGCTTATTTTAAAAATAATAACTGCAAATAATGCCACTGTATGGAAAACATAAGTAAAAAAACAGACATAGTGAATAACTGATGTCACTGATTGTTCCCCATACAAAACATGACTCTGTATGAATTATTTTTCAATTAGCCCTCCCAAATTTCCTGGAACATGAAGCTTAATTCCTACATTGAGCAGTATAGTTTTGATGCCATGAAGCTTAACCCAGATGTAAGAAATGGTAGATAGGAGAGATAACAACAAAATAAAATTTAAAAAAATAAACAATAAAAAAAAGTCAACGAAAGAAATTAAATCAGTTTCAGAAATCAACATGAAAAATAATTTCGTTGGTGTCTTAATGGCAGTCACACACCCTAAACAAATTTCTTTTTTTTAAGCTTTTGAAATGTTTTTCTTACAAAAAACTCTTTTTAGATTATTCACCTTTACTTTAATAATAATAAAAAAACTAAAATCAATAATAGACAGTAGGTGGCAAGAAACATCTTTTAAGAGTTTGTTTACAGCGTAAAGTTGAAGCATGAACATCTGAAAAAGAAACATAAACACATAATATTGCTAAGTACTGAGTGCTGTTCAAAAATTACTCATGAGAATATCTACAAAGATTAATTTTTTAAAATGAAGTTGCTCGCTAAAGTAGGCCCTAAATATTGATGCAAAATAATAGGTTATTATATGGGCCTATAATATAATTAAAGTAACAGAGAGGTCACTTTTCTGTAGCAGTGTTTCTATAACTTAAGACTTTTCTCCAGGAGGGGCACTTGAAAATTTCGGGGGCGGGGGGGGGGGGGGGTAGACATTGGAAGAAACTGGTCTGTAGTAATAACAGCATACTATAAAGTTTTTTTTTTTAAAAAAAAAGGACTTTACCAAACAAAGAAGCCTTTAGCCTATGATAAACGTCTAGTAATGGCTTATAGTTTATAGGCCTACTACTACTATTAGCTATTCACTATACATTTTAAAATGCTAATATTTTAAAGTAAATAGTCTGGTAATCTATCGATTATCATTTTACGCACCTAAAAATTTTAGGCTAAAACTTTATCGATAGGATAGTCTATATTATACTATATGATCAAGACCTAAACTAAAACTAAAATTAACTGCTTTTTAAAAAGTTTTAATCAACATTATCAATTTTAATACTGTGATCAGCAGAACATAGATAAGAGATTCTATTGCTGTTTATTTATAGAACAGAGTACTTGAAAGTACCAACTGTAACAATAATATTGACCTAATTTCCAAGGGTGTCCATTTCCTACTGTATTGCAAGGGACATCACTATTTCAGTATTTTTCAGTTACTTCCCTTTCATTGTTTTCTACAAGACAGACAACAAACAGAATGACTAGATCTAAAAAAATCTAGATCTAGATCTAGATCTAGATCTAAATCCACATCTACGAAAAAAATGGATCTACTTCTCTAATTAATTTTGTGTCTTCTAATAACGTCATAATATAGTCTAGGCAAGTATACACTAGACGTTTCTTCTAGATCTAGATCTAAATTAGGCTTGTCGGTATCGGCCGAGATCGCGGTAAAAACATGACCCGAAATCTCCCATTACTTTCTGATACCGGGCGCACGAGATTTAGTTTTGCATACTAATAAGTTTTTAATTTATGGTAATTAATTAAGTTTAAAAGGTCATTTCCTAATGTTAAATGAAAAGTAGAATGGTTTTCCAGTTGTTTTGATGGCTTAGCGATCTGATTGCATGCTGTCTCTGCTTTGGTCTTACCGCGGTATAAAGGTTAACTTCAAATGCTTTAAAAACGCGATTTTTGAAAAGTTTCCATTTAGATAATGAAAGTTTCCAAAGCAGATACATCCCATTTTTATAGAAATGATATTTATTTTTGGATATTTTGACTTTGACATTAGTAAATACTCATTTGAAAGTAGTCACCGTAAGTAGGTCACGTTGCCCCCATTGACTCCAATGTTATATTTCTTCATCCCGATCTGCCGGCTTTTAGTTTTGATACACTAACAACAGTATTCTTATGTAATGTACAAACAAATCTCCTACTTGTTGTTTTAAACATATTTTAATATAGATCTACCTGTCTTTCATTTTTTCAACTCTGGTTCTAGTTTTGCTTGAAGTAAAATTTTGCTGAGTCAGACATAGGTTACCTGTCTGTTGCTAGAATACACTACACTAGCTATGTGCTAACTGTAATTTTAAGTATTCAAGTTCTACTTACCCTTACTTAGTTATATTTATATGCTGAAAATCAGAATTCATACAAAATACACACATAAAAACATTGATCAGATAACTTCAGTTCACTTTTAACAAAATGGCTTAAAGATAGACTCTACTTCACCTGCCCAAAATAATAAGGCAATTATATGCACATTACAGTGTTCAAGTCATTTACTTTAGATTGCTAACTATGTAGTTCTTTCATTCACTGTATTTATATAAAGCATTGCTTTAGAAACTTTTTCATATTTGCGCAGCACAGTTTTATAACAAAATGTCTTAAAGATGGACTCTACTTCACCTGCCCAAAATAATGGGGCAGTTATATGCAGTTATATGCACATTTCAGTGTTCAAGTCATTTACTTTAGATTGCTAACTTTGTAGTTCTTTCATTCACTGTAAAACATTGCTTTAGAAACATTTTCATATTTGCGCAGCACAGTTTTTTTGGGGTTATGGAAGGAAGCCAACACAAAAATATACTTCTGTATTATTTTTATTTATTTCAACAGCATATACAAGTTCTATATATCATTCTAGCTCAACTCTGCAAATATGAACAAAATACAACTGCAAGTAAAATAACTATGCTCAATTTATTCAGGTATACCATGACTTGTCACAATTGGCCAATGCAAAAGCAAGGGCATTACACCCCTCACAAAAAAATTCGCTAAAAAAAAACTATTTGAGCTAGACAGAAAATCTTTTTTGTTTTGTTTTCATATAGTTGAGCTCTACAAGAATATGTAATTTTTATTTTTATATGATGATTAGTGTTTTTTTACCAAAATCCCTATCTAAATCAATGGCACTGTCATTACTCATTGGCACTAGAATCTAGAATCTAGATTCTTTCTAGATTCTAGATCTAGACTAGAGTCTTCACTCTTCAGATCTAGATTCTAGAATTAGTCTGAATTAGTCTAGAATTTCTGTACTAGATCTAGAATTATAGATCTAGAGAGCATCTAGCTCTAGATCTAGATCAAGATTAAAATTCTAGACTCTAGAGTAGTTCTAGATTCTAGACCTCTGACCTAGATCTAGATTTAAAGATTAGATTGATTTTAGGGTAATCCATCGTTTTGGGTACATAATAAAATTGTCCGCGACTAGTAATGTGAAAAACAGGTGACTCCTTAAATTTTAATAATTATTTCACATTTTGATGAGGATTTATGTTTTGGTAATCTATCGTTTTGGGTACGTAAAATCGCCCGCGACTAGTAATGTGAAAAACAGGTGACTCCTTACATTTTAATAATTATTTCACATTTTGAGGAGGATTTATGTTTTAAAAATACAAAAATGTTTCCTTGTTTCATTTATGTACCTGTTTTTAAACAATTGAATTAAAACGTTTCAGTAATAAATGAAGACTAGCGATGTTTCCAACAGATGCTACCATGCTCATTTACTATAGCAGCCATCTTGTTAAAGTTTTATTTTTATAGACTTAACGCGCAAGATTCAGGCGGAAGTCACTCTATTTTACAAATGGCTGCTGTTTATATAGCAAACCTTGCTTGTAGACACTGCTGTTTAAAGTTAATTTCTGGCCTATATTGATATATTTAGCCATTGATTTAGGTTTATTATTCATTTATCTAGTTTTATTTGACACAAACATATCACAATATACTTCTATTACAGCCTTGACAATGAGGTAACGTTTTCGTACATTAATAGCCGCGGGCGATTTTACGTACCCAAAACGATAGATTACCTATGTTTTTTAAAATGGCTGCTGTTTATATAGCGATCTTGCTCGCAGACACTGCCGTTTAAAGTTGATTTCTGTTCTATATTCAATTAGCCATTGATTTAGGTTTATTATTCATTTATCTATAATATTTGACACAAAAATATCACAATATACTTCTATTAAAGCCTTGACAATGAGGCAACATTTTTGTACATTAATAGCCGTGGCGATTAAAATTACGAAGTGACTACCTACTCAGAAATTTTTTTTTCGCCCCAGCGTCTCCATTTGGTTGGCAAAGATAGTTCTGCCCATGCGCAGTGACCTTAATAGCTCTGAGCTAGGGTTAGGGCTAGGGTTAGAGTTCTGCGGTTTATTTATAACCACACGCTTGCGCAGTACCATCGAAAGTCGTAGTTTCTATCAATTGCGCATGTGTATCTTTTTCCGGCTAGAATCGGCCTTAAAATTATCATGCTTTGTTAGCAGTTTTTTGTAATAGATAATCTGTTACATAAAAAATAAACCGGGAGCCATCTCATCTAAACCTTCTTGAATATTCTTTTATAACACTATGAAGGATGGCAACTCGGGATATAGACATGATTTTTAATCCATTTTTAATTACTTAGTTAGGCCTAAACTTTTTAAAATAGAATAGATACTCATAGAAAAAAGAATTGCACACCAAGTGAATGCCAAACAATCTGTGTATAATAGTGTGGAATATTATTAGTACCTAATAAATGCACATGCGTTTTTTTTTAGAAATCGGGAATATCGTAAATTACTACTTCCGGTCAATGGAAATTACTCAAAATTTTACAGAAGGCAGAGAATTAGATCTTTTACTTACATGTGAAATTTCATTTATCTATCTGAAACAGTACTCAAGTTATAGGCTTTTGAAAAATTGGAAGTAGAATAAGTTCCACTTCTGGTTACTGGAAATCACTGAAAAGTTGATACAGAACTACACATTTTGTATAATAATTATTTATGAAATTTCATCAACCTAGCTGTAACGGTACTCAAGTTATAGTGTTCACAGACACATACACACACACAGACATCCGGAGAGAACAGCAAAGCCCAGTTTTTTTCTGACTGGATTATGCATAGAAAGCCGAAATTTTGATAAATTTGCATTTATAATTTTTGCCAGATTAAAATAAGTCCCCTATCATCCGTACATGATGAAGTACTGAGGTGTAAAACATTGAAAACTCAAAATTTCATGTGATTTTTGTGCACGATTAAAATTCTCCCTCTATACTTTATATACGAGAAAGTAAAAAAAATGATAACTTTTTTTGGGTTCTGTTAAATTGTCACTTCTCTTTCATTTAGAACTCCATATATTAAACTTTTTCATCCTAAAATCTAGTTTATTCTTCAATTTTTCTTGCAAAAAATAAAAATTGTTATTTGAATATTATTTAGGCTTAAACAATTTCCACTCTACATGTATTAGTTAGTGTATAAATTATTACTGCAGAATGCGAGGTAAAAAACGTCCCCCAGAGGAAAAGATTGTAAATGTCGCTGGCCCCCTTCCACCATGTCGAGTGTGTGATGAACCAGCTGCAGGTTTTCATTATGGAGTTAACACCTGTGAAGCTTGTAAAGTAAGTTTTTTTCTTTCATTTTATAATAGTACAAGGTTTTAGTGTTGAAGAATGACTGTTTATTTAATGAAATACACTCAAATGAATGAGAATAAATTCTAATACCATCTATACAGGGATTTTTTAGGAGAAGTCTCATACGAAGTGGTGAATATGAGTGCCTAGGCTCAGGAAATTGTGTCATTGGCCCCAATAGAAGGAAAAGTTGCCCAAAATGTAGATATTTAAAGTGTCTGAAAGTTGGCATGTCAAAAGAAGGTTGGTGATAGTAACTACTTTAAAGCTGACTAAATGTTGTTAGTAGGGTGATGGAGGAGAGTGGAGGTTCTCAAATATATCACTCAACTGTATTAAAGACAAATTCCATGGTTTGTCAAGACAATGAGCTCAATATGTTTGAACTCATTCTTTCAATAACATAGACAAAATATGATTGATGTTGACACATGGGACTACACTTTCACAACCAATAACAACTTTAAAACTGATATAATTAAGTTCCCTTTTAAACCTGACAGTTAATGAGTAGAGTTCACCTGTTACTGTGAACTTGACATATGTAGGTATAGTGAATTCCCCAGCCATTTTTACTTTCCCAAAATGTGAGTCAGGTACCCATCAGAGTTGGGTTGACTTGAACCCAGATTCAAACTCATGACTTACAGGTTGGCAGTAGTATGCTCTGCTATTTAACCACACCATAAGACACATAGGGCTACACTTGATTTAACCAAAGACAAACTTTACAACTGTCAAAAAGAGACATAAGCAGGGGACCACTTTTCCTGTGATATCCCTGATTTCCAGATTCAAGAATCATATGTTCTATGATAAGCTTACACTTGATACATTCAGTGACAAATATACAATGGCCAATAAGGCTTTCTATATGCAGCAAGGTCCAGCTGGAACCTTCAGTATTTCCTTACCCTTACACACAGGAGACAACTCACATCCTTCTATTTGACAGCCTCAAGTTTGTCAATCTATGGTCCTAGACAAATATTTCTCAAATCTTGATGATCCTGCCTCTTTATAATTATAGGCCAATATATATTTACAATGAAATTTAGTTTCAGGATAACTCATTTTTAAAATGTATTTTTTAACCAGTGTAAAATGCTGATTTTTAAAACCGCCATTTTAATACTTTTCAGCTATAAAAACAGGGCGATACACATACATGAAAAGAACCCAAGACACACTAGAAATAAAATTACTAGAAAAGTCAAAGGACTCAACAAGTCTTGAGCCAGCCCACTCACCAATGGATTACAGCGACATCTCTTCAGCGAGCTTCAAGGGGGAGCTGTACTCACCAGAGACAACCAATGCCTCAAGTCAGGACAGCTCAGCCCCAACAAAGTTTGTTGAGAAACCAGCAGCCAACACATCTCAGTCTTTGATCACTAACCAACTGACATTGGCAGAAATGTCATATCTGTCCTGCTCACCCTCATCTTCCTCCTCTTTCAATGACACAAGTCCTCTTGTGTTTGCACAAAACTATGACAGCCAGAGAGAAGAAAGTGAAACAGCTGCACAAAGCAACTTTAGCCCAGCTCCCTCCGTCCCTTCACACCCAGGCACATCTGCTTCTTCTCCTCACTGTGTCACCTCACCTGAACTAAGCTCAAACAGAAGGCCATGTCAGACCAAACCTTCTACAAGTTTATTTCACTGTACAGAATCTGTGGTGTCACAGAAAACAGAATCTATGACAAGTTTGTTACAGCATAGTGAACCTTTGACACGGTTACCTCAGCAAAGTGAACCTATGACAAGTTTGCTACAGCATAGTGAACCTCAGCATGGTGAATCTATTACACGATTACCTCGGCATAGTGAACCTATGACAAGTTTGTCCCAGCATAGTGAACCTATGACAAGTTTGTCCCAGCATAGTGAACCTATGACAAGTTTGCCTAAGCACACAGAACCTGCATCAAGCCTGTCCCAGCTTCTGCTGGTTGGTGAACCCCAGAACACCTGGGAGAACTACACAGAGGGAGAGCTGGATGAGCTGATCAATGTGCTGGTCACTGGCCACCAGCAGACAATCACTGACTCTAATAGCATACCTTATGAGTTTATACAGGAGAAGATTAAGGAATGCAAGGTAATGGAAGTCAAAATTATTTCTTAATTACTACCAAAAATTTAGTGAATTAGTTTATTTGGAGTAGGTACTAATCTTGTATGCACAAATGCAAATTCAATAATTCACCAGTATTTAAAAAAAAATTATTTAATGCGGGAAAACTACAATAGATATTTTAAGCTACAAAATTTAATTGAATGGACTTTAAATGTTACTATCAAATATTTTTCTTATAGAAAATACTGTAGGAAATAAAATTGATTGAAGTTTTCTAAAGCACAAGATTGCTACAAAGATGCTTGTGTTGGACTCTTAGTTCTGATTTTAGTTTTCTACTAAACCATAAGAATAGATGGTCACATTTTTCAGGGTAAAAAACCCCTACTGTGAGATATTCTAAGAGCATAAGCTTTTGCATTACAGCTTTAGGCTTATGGATTTCTTTGCCCTTTTATACAGACATATATAAGTTAGCCAGAAGCAGACAAATGCCTCAAAATCCTTGAGTGTAAATATACCTGTTGATGTTATGCAATCATTCAATTTATTTTTATTGCATCCTTATTAGATAAGTAATTAGCAATTGCATCTTCATTTAAATCTTCTTATCAGGCAATTAACATCAAAGTGTAACTTGAGCTTCTAATTACAGGAAAAATGCCAGCTTCAGACAGAAATATTTGGGCACATGGGTAGAATCGATGTGGAGGAACATGACAGGATCTACAGGTCCACTGGTATAGATGTGGATGGCCGCATCGATGACCTGAACTACTGCTCCAACAAGGTGGACACTGACATCAGGCAGCTGATTGCCTTCATGAAACTTATCCCAGGCTTCAAGACAATCACAGTCTCTGACCAAACTGTTCTCGTCAAAGGTAAGCTGTTGTTTCAGACTTCAAAAGTCTTCTAGCTTTAGACAGTTCATAACCTTGAGATAGAAATGTCTTGTTAAACCTGCCTAGCTTTATTTTTTGTACCACAAAAAAACAATTTTCATTGTATAACACTATTTTAAATTTAAATTATAATTGAGTGTGAGAATGAAACATCTTATCCACTAACTGATGTGGTTTGAATGTCCAGCCTGCATCTACGAGCTGTTTCTGTTTGGCTACTTCCGAGGGTACAACAGGGAGGAGAAGATAGCAGTGGAGGAACACAGGACATACTGCATTCACCAGTTGGAGACCTTCTATACCAGGGACCTGATTGACAAAATCTTTCAAATCACTGACCAGATGCAGAAGATCAATTTAACTTTTGAAATGATTGTCATTCTGAAAGCAGCATGCATTTTCTTTCCAGGTAGATAAGGAAAATGTTTTTTTGTATGGATTGTTTTAAAGAGTTTGTGAAATAGTGGGATTGTGGATTGGACATTTAAAAAAAATTCTATTTTAGTCAAAGCATAATCAGGTATTAAAATAATTGGATAGTTTGTAAGTAAGAATTTTGAGTTAAAAGGTCACTTTGTTTAAAAGGAATGGTATGTTGCAGATTAGAAAATAATAGTAAAAAAAACAAGTTGGCTAACTCTAACTCTAGATTTTTTTTACATTAATAAGCAAAGAAAGAAATTTTCTTAATTTAAATTATGTGCTAAATTTAAAAAAATAAAAGACAGCAGTAAAGAAAATATGATATACTTAAAAGCAAATAAATTGCACTACTTCTGCTGGGAAGTTATCTCCCTTGAACCACAGTATTTCAAATGAACAGTTTATTTTTCATGACTATTTTTTTGCTGATTGGAAATATTGAAAACAATCTTTGCTTTTTATTACCCTCTGTTTTAAAAAATTCAAATAAGTTATTTCCTTTCCTCCCTAGGCCAGGGCTGAGCGTTTAATTATGACATAGAGAGGCTACTTGTATTTATTCTTCTAATGTGTGAATAGATCTATTCAGTGATGTAGCTTTTATCTATTCCAATATATTAAGCCCTCCCTTTTAATAAATCTTTAAAATCCTCAGACAGAGTGACAGTCTCTAGAAATGACATCATTGAGAGGATTCACTTGAAGCTTGTGCAGTGTCTGCTGCTGCTGCTGCGTCGACACTTTGCAGAAAACTACTGCAAGGTGTTTGCTCAGATCATCGCCCTGCTGACCTCGCTGCGCTCAATAGATTATGAGTGCAGGAAGTTGTGGGCCCAGATGGGGCTGGACAGGTACCCTGAGGTCTCTAACAAACCTATACTGGCTGAACTCTTTCGAGGGAACTTCACGTAGCTTAAAGGAAATATATTGTATAACATTCTTCAGTACCCGGTTTGTAAATCATATTTAAATATCTATTGAAAATATATGTTATGTACAGTCTATAATTACCTACACCAACTAATGCAGTTTAAAAAATTGTCAGGATATTTAAGGCTCTTTCAATAATGTTGCTAAATTGTAACTATGACTCAGTCACTTCTAATCCTGACACTCACAAAATGGTGAAAAAAATTGCTGTAAAAACATGCTGTGTATTGTATTGCTGGGTCTCTGTAATAGCAGTTGTGGATAAAAAAGATATATAGACACAATTGAAAACCTTTTTAGTGGAGTTTCTTCACTAGAGCTCTGTTGGCTATTTCACTGTACATATAGTTTCTTTTGTTGTTCAATCAATTTTAAATAACTTACCCAGAGTTGATTTGATCTAAATTAAACAGAAGCTTATGTTATTATTTGACACTGTTGTATTTTAAAGGCAGCTATGTGTGTTTTTATGTCATGATTTTTTTGTTAACTAGAGTCACATGGCAGGTTGGATCTCTACATGAAGTTAAGTACAAACAGTACAGACATTTTTCAAGAAAAAACACTCACATGCTAGAAAATTAAATCTTCATTTATTTTACATTGAAAAAAATTAAACATTAGAATAATGTTTTGAAAATTTGTTTGGAAAATAAATGTTAACATTTATGATGGTTTCTTGAATTGGGGCTCTGTACTCCTCAAAGAACTGGCATGTAAAATTATAACCTTCAGATTTTATTATTAAAATAATTGATTAGAGATACATTTACAAAGACAGGGTTGTAAGTGATAGTTTTTTAAAGCATAAAGACATTTTAAAAAACAATATTTACCCTTTACTTGAATACTTGATTTCAGGTTTAAACTATTTATTTAAGTGAATGCTAAACAAAAGTTTAAAAATTTCCTTTCTTATGGCTGCACAACTTTCTCTTCTGTTTGTACAGTTCTTGTTGTCTAATACAAGCATAGTAACTGCCTCATTGTCCCTTTTTTAAAAGTAGGTAACTTCCTTGGTCTGTGATTTGAAAGGTGTAATCTGGTTGGTACATTTCTTTGAAACCTGTGATCTGATTGGTGCATTAATTTGAAAGCTGTGATTTATTCAAGTGGAGCATAACAGTTCTTATATTGTTGATATTGTTGACATAATACAATTTCTATTTTTTCTGGTAACAGTTAATATTTGTCACAGATATATGCACATTTTCTGAAAAATATTTAATATTTTTTATACTTTTGATGAAGTGTCCTTGTACATTAAAATATTGTTTTGCCTGCTTACTCCTATTTATACAATTGTATATGAATATTTTTTTCTGACAAAGACTTTTGGTTGATACATGTTTTTTCCCCCTGAGATTAACCACTATTTGATTTCTATTTATTTTTGTACCTTCAGATTATAACCACCATAATGCAGCTTCCATTGTTTTACTTTAATCAGTTTTCTATCTGGCTTTAGAAATATGCCATATATCATGTGTTATTAGAATATATTGTACATTATGATAATAATTTAATGTGTCTCAGAAATCCTTTGTTGCTTATACATATGATAAAAAATGTATAGTTCTTTGCCAAACATTCCACATCAGGTTTAATTTCAATACCCTATTATGTGATATCTTCTTATGTATACCACTATTCATGAGTAACCAGCTGGTTGAATTGAGGTTGATTGAAGGAACAGATCATCAACTATCTCAGAATGATTTTTAAATAATTTGTTTTGCTCAGTTTGAAATGTTTCTATTTCAGCTTTAAGAGATGAGGTCACAAAGGTAAAAAAAAACCCACTTTATTTTATAATAGTGGGAATTTGAGTTGCATGTTATAATGTAATTATAATATTTTAAATAACAAATCAACAAATCATGACAACATCATTTCATTTTGTATTGTGACATCAGTGATGTCAGAGATGTTTTAGCACTTGTTCCAGTTTCATTTACATTTAACCTTGGTTTTTGTTACCTGTTTTTGTACCAGTTACCTTGGTTTATGTTACCTGTTTTTGTACCAGTTACCTTGGTTTATGTTACCTGTTTTTGTACCAGTTACTTTGGTTTTTGTTACCTGTTTTTGTACCAGTTACCTTGGTTTTTGTACCAGTTACCTTGGTTTTTGTTACCTGTTTTTGTACCAGTTACTCTGGTTTTTGTTACCTGTTTTTTGTACCAATTACCTTGGTTTTCGTTACCTGTTTTTGTACCAGTTACCTTGGTTTTTGTTACCTTTTTTTGTACCAGTTTTTGCTATCTGATAAGATAATTTGTGCTTCATTCTGTTTTTATATCACAATGCCATTAACATATAAATAATTTTATGCTAAGACGCAACCAATTTGTGTTTAGTTTATATTTACAGATGGTATATTGCATAATTTAAACAAAGATATAAAAAAAAAATTATTCGTGATTTGTTGTTTACAAATATTGATAGTTTTTTTTACTAATTATATTTTATTGATTTCCAAAAAAATTAATTTCTTTGCTTAAAATCATATAAAGATTAGAAAATATATCACCTAGTTGAGAAAATAGTTAAACATTTTATTATATTTCTACCACACAAAATGAAGTTAAGGCAAACCTCCTATACCAACAGCAGCTAAATCATTAAAGTATTTATATATTTATTTGGCAAGACTTACATTTCTTTTTGGTGTCTTGTGCATTATTTGTTCTGTGGGCTGTATACAGGATGTTGTCTGCTACATGATGTTGTCTGCTACACGATATTGTTGTCTGCTACATGATGTTGTCTGCTACAGGATGTTGTTGTCTGCTACATGATGTCTGCTACATGATGTCTGCTAAAGGATGTTGTCTGCTACATGATGTTGTCTGCTACAGGATGTTGTTGTCTGCTACAGGATGTTGTCTGCTACAGGATGTTGTTGTCTGCTACATGATGTTGTTGTCTGCTACTTGATGTTATCTGCTACAGGTTGTTGTCTGCTACATGATGTTATCTGCTACATGATGTTGTCTGCTACATGATGTCTGCTACATGATGTTGTCTGCTACATGATGATGTCTGCTACATGATGTTGTCTGCTACATGATGTTGCTGTCTGCTACAGGATGTTGTCTGCTACATGATGTTGTCTGCTACATGATGTTGTTGTCTGCTACAGGATGTTGTCTGCTACATGATGTTGTTGTCTGCTACATGATGTTGTTGTCTGCTACAGGACGTTGTCTGCTACAGGATGATGTTGTCTCCTACATGATGTTGTCTGCTACATGATGTTGTTGTCTGCTACATAATGTTGTCTGCTACATGATGTTGTTGTCTGCTACATGATGTTGTTGTCTGCTACATGATGTTGTCTGCTATAGGATGGTCTGCTACATGATGTTGTTGTCTGCTAGAGGATGTTGTCTGCTACATGATGTTGTCTGCTACAGGATGATGTCTGCTACATGATGTTGTTGTCTGCTAGAGGATGTTGTCTGCTACATGATGTTGTTTTCTGCTAGAGGATGATGTCTGCTACATGATGTTGTTGTCTGCTACAGGATGATGTCTGCTACATGATGTTGTTGTCTGCTACAGGATGTTGTCTGCTACAGGATGTTGTTGTCTGCTACAGGATGTTGTCTGCTACATGATGTTGTTGTCTGCTACAGGATGTTGTCTGCTACAGGATGTTGTTGTCTGCTACAGGATGTTGTCTGCTACAGGATGTTGTCTGCTACATGATGTTGTCTGCTACATGATGTCTGCTACATGATGTTGTCTGCTACATGATGATGTCTGCTACATGATGTTGTCTGCTACATGATGTTGCTGTCTGCTACAGGATGTTGTCTGCTACAGGATGTTGTTGTCTGCTACATGATGTTGTTGTCTGCTACATGATGTTGTTGTCTGCTACATGATGTTGTCTGCTACATGTTGTTGTCTGCTACATGATGTTATCTGCTACATGATGTTGTCTGCTACATGATGTTGTCTGCTACATGATGTCTGCTACATGATGTTGTCTGCTACATGATGATGTCTGCTACATGATGTTGTCTGCTACATGATGTTGCTGTCTGCTACAGGATGTTGTCTGCTACATGATGTTGTCTGCTACATGATGTTGTTGTCTGCTACAGGATGTTGTCTGCTACATGATGTTGTTGTCTGCTACATGATGTTGTTGTCTGCTACAGGACGTTGTCTGCTACAGGATGATGTTGTCTCCTACATGATGTTGTCTGCTACATGATGTTGTTGTCTGCTACATAATGTTGTCTGCTACATGATGTTGTTGTCTGCTACATGATGTTGTTGTCTGCTACATGATGTTGTCTGCTATAGGATGATGTCTGCTACATGATGTTGTTGTCTGCTAGAGGATGTTGTCTGCTACATGATGTTGTTTTCTGCTAGAGGATGATGTCTGCTACATGATGTTGTCTGCTACAGGATGATGTCTGCTACATGATGTTGTTGTCTGCTACAGGATGTTGTCTGCTACAGGATGTTGTTGTCTGCTACAGGATGTTGTCTGCTACAGGATGTTGTTGTCTGCTACATGATGTTGTCTGCTATAGGATGTTGTTGTCTGCTACATGATGTTGTTGTCTGCTATAGGATGTTGTCTGCTACATGATGTTGTCTGCTACAGGATGTTGTCTGCTATAGGATGTTGTCTGCCACATGATGTCTGCTACAGGATGTTGTCTGCTACATGATGTTGTTGTCTGCTACAGGATGTTGTCTGCTACATGATGTTGTTGTCTGCTACATGATGTCTGCTACATAATGTTGTTGTCTGCTATAGGATGTTGTTGTCTGCTACATGATGTTGTCTGCTACATGTTGTTGTCTGCTACAGGATGTTGTCTGCTACATGATGTTGTTGTCTGCTATAGGATGATGTCTGCTACATGATGTTGTTGTCTGCTACAGGATGTTGTCTGCTACATGATGTCTGCTACATGATGTTGTTGTCTGCTACAGGATGATGTTGTCTGCTACATGATGTTGTTGTCTGCTACATGATGTTGTCTGCTACATGTTGTTGTCTGCTACAGGATGTTGTCTGCTACATGATGTTGTTGTCTGCTATAGGATGATGTCTGCTACATGATGTTGTTGTCTGCTACAGGATGTTGTCTGCTACAGGATGGTGTTGTCTGCTACAGGATGTTGTCTGCTACAGGATGTTGTTGTCTGCTACATGATGTTGTTGTCTGCTATAGGATGTTGTTGTCTGCTACATGATGTTGTTGTCTGCTATAGGATGTTGTCTGCTACATGATGTTGTCTGCTACAGGATGTTGTCTGCTATAGGATGTTGTCTGCTACATGATGTCTGCTACAGGATGTTGTCTGCTACATGATGTTGTTGTCTGCTACATGATGTTGTTGTCTGCTACAGGATGTTGTTGTCTGCTACATGTTGTCTGCTACAGGATGTTGTCTGCTACAGGATGTTGTCTGCTATAGGATGATGTCTGCTACATGATGTTGTCTGCTACAGGATGTTGTCTGCTACATGATGTTGTCTGCTATAGGATGTTGTTGTCTGCTACAGTATGATGTCTGCTACATGATGTTGTCTGCTACAGGATGTTGACTGCTACATGATGTTGACTAGTGTTTTTTTGCTAGTGATAGTTTGTGTTGTCTTTTGGTTTGCATTAGCTGCAGATGGTGTTGGTTATTTATAGAATGATTTAACAGAAAGCACGTGACGTCAGCTTTCACAATACACAACTGTACTCACATGTACTGCACTGTTCAAGAAAAATACAACTTGAGTGTATTTACATGTTGCATTTTAACGCATTTTATGCGTCAATTATGACGTCATACGAAACGGCTGACATTTTGTAAGCTCTTGCGTGCTCTAATCAGGTTAGCTAACTCGCGGTAAATGCGCAATAATCTAAATTAGCTATCATTACGCTTTCTAACACCCCTCAAGCCTGTGATAATATTCAAGAGTTCACCCCCGCAATTTGATGGGAAGTCACTGGGCTTCCATTTTTGTCAGGCTGAAATGTCATAAGACCCAATCCACATCTCCACCTTTGTGATTCAACAAATGTATGTCTTGACGTGATTTCTTTACAATTTGGGTTGGGGAAAAACTGTTTTCACTGTTAAATTGATGTCATTCTACCTTGCATGGCCTGCCTTCAACCCCCAACCCTTCTCCCTCAACACTACTTTATCACTAGGCGAATTCTTTGGCTTCTCCCAGTTGCCATTTTGTTGAAACATTTCGTGACCCTGGGGCAATTGTGGTTTTTTTTAAATTGTGTGTGTGTGTGGGGGGGGGGGGGCTGACCGTGACGATAAGCTACGCGGGGTGGGGTGCCCCTGCATGCTGTTAATGAAAAATAAATTCAATAACAATTCTGTTGATAAATATTATCTGTTGACAAAGTTTATTCAGTTGAAACATTTTTAAAAATGAGCTCAAAAAATCTCCAGGCCTGAAGTATACAAACTTCTCATGCATGTGAAGTGAGTGAACAATACAAATCAATAACATCTCGGAACGGAACTTGCACCCCCCCCTATATATTATGTAGGCCAATGTGTAAAATCAACGTATGTCGTCACAGTCTGTTTTTCCATTAATTCTTGAAAAACAGGGCGCAACTCTGAATGGACAGGATTTACCGCCTTCATTGAAGAAGAGCGCTAGTGTCAAAACTGATGAATAAAAATAAATAAAGATTTTATTTAGTTTTATTTCGATTAAAAAATTACAGCAAAACCCTAGGGAAATCCTTTAATAGGCACTGATCATTCAATAGCCACAGCTAGGATGTGCAACAGAGCTCAACAATGTATAATAATCTAGACATGGCTCCTGTATGTAGACTGGAGTCCTGTATGTATTGTAGGCTCCAGAATGTAGACATGGCTCCTGTATGTAGACTGGGCTCATGTATGTATTATAGGCTCCAGAATGTAGACAGGGCTCCTGTATGTATTATAGACTCCAGAATGTAGACAGGGCTCCTGTATGTATAAAAGGCTCCAGTATACAGACATGGCTCCCGTATGTTTAACGAGGCTCCATTATGTAGACTGCATCAGGGCTAACGTGTATATACGACAGGGGTTTGTATAAAGCAAGGCTAAAGTTTGTACAAAAGGCCTCTATACCTTACAACAGTGCTTGGTATTAAACACACCATGACACCACTGCTCCAGTAGTTACAGCAGGGCTCTGGTATGGCTAAAGTTGCTACAGTCCAGGGTGTAATGGCTAGTTGCTACAGTCCAGGGTGCTATGACTAAAGTTGCTACATTCCAATAGCTGTGTTCTTAAAAAATGTACCAGCTGACGACGATTTTTGTTTACTGCAGTGGCTAGTGCTAGTAAAAGTTACTCAAATCTGCAAAAGTCTCCGCTTATCCACTGTGCTACTTTAAGTTAATAATTTTAACTTACTAACTCTCAACCCTGTAAAACACCAAAAAACAAACAAACAAAAGTTGAGGCTAGAAACTACACCTGCCAAGAAAAGACACCCCCCCTCCCCTTCAGCCCCATTGCTCGCCCTAAATTCCTTTTTTTTCCATTTTGTAGGTAAATACGTACCTACGTAGTACTAATAGTACTAGAAAGTTTTTATTTTAAAAATGCTACATTGTTAAAAAAAACGAAAACAAAACAATTCATTTAACACTCATCATTTGCAACAAACATCAGTCATCTCCCTTTACAGCAGAACCAGGCAGAGAATAATAGAGTGAACATTGATTGTTCATATGCCGATTGGACTATTTCAAGATTAGTAGTAGATATTTTTTTTTAGAATATCCTGTTTTTGCTTGTTGATCAAGATGAGCTTTAAATTTCTACCTTCTTCTAATTTTTCACTTTCTCGTACATACGAAGTATAGAGAAAGTCTTGTAATCGTGCAAAAAAAAAATAAAAAAATCGAGATTTGTAAATCGAGATTTTTACAAATCTCGACGTTTTACACCTCACTGATACGGAAAAACATAATTTTGCAATCTTGTCCGTGTGTCTGTCTGTCTGTGTGTAAACACGATAACTTGAGTATCGTTACAGCTAGGTTGATGAAATTCCATATAAAAGTATTTTATCAAAATCGTAGATCCTGATCAACTTTTGAGCGATTTCTTTCAGATAACCGGAAGTGGTACTTTTTCTACTTTGAATTTTTCAAAAGCCTATAACTTGAGTACTATTTCAGATAGATAAATGAAATTTCACATGTAAGTAAAAGATCTAATTCTCTACCTTCTGTCAAATTTTGAGTAATTTCCGTTGACCGGAAGTACTAATTTACGCTATTTCCGATTTCTCAAAAAACGCATGTAAATTTATAAAGTACTAATAATATTGCGCACTATTATGCACATTTTGTTTTGGCGTTCGCTTGGTGCGCAATTCTTTTTTCTATGAGATTCTATTCTATTTTAAAAAGTTTAAGTAATTAAAAATCATGTCTATATTCCGAGTTATATAAGAATATTCGAGAAAGTTTAGGGGAGATCACTCCCGGTTTATTTTCTGTTTGCTACTTGCCAAAAGTTTTATTGGAATTATTCCATAGAAATAATCAGATCTGCTTAAACGGGCACACAAACAATGCCGACAAGAATAGTTTTCAATGAGGCTTATTCATCAACAAAAACATTTCTTTGAGAAACTTTTTTTTAAACTCGATTTATCGTTTGCTGCACTTTGAGTCTCTATCGTGAAGCCTTGTTGTCAGCGTTGTGCAAAACTCGTCCATTTCTGCAACTTGAATGGCCACTTTGGGGACGTGTTTATGGGCGAGGTTTATTACAAGAATCAGAAGCAGCCCCGAAGCAGATATTTCTATGTGTGTATGTTTATAAAATAGAGGTGTGTGTATGTTTTAAGGCGAGTCGCCGCAATAAAAAAAAAAGAAAGGAATTGTGTAAACGAAAGAACGTATTTTCCTTTGAGCTGTGCTCATTAGAAAACCCTTAGGCGTGCCCATGTCTATGCTAGTGCGGTCAGTACATTGAAAGAGGTAAACAAAGTTTGGTGCGATAACACTAAGCTTAACACACCTGGGGGGAAATTTTCCAGGTTTATCATTATGGCAGGATTTTCTAGCAGTAAATCAGTGGTTGTCTTCCCATGTTGTTCAGTGGTTGTCTGCCCATGTTGTTCAGTGGTTGTCTGCCCATGTTGTTCAGTGGTTGTCTGCCTATGTTGTTCTGTGGTTGTCTGCCCATGTTGTTCAGTGGTTGTCTGCCCATGTTGTTCAGTGGTTGTCTGCCCATGTTGTTCTTTGGTTGTCTGCCCATGTTGTAAAATTGCACTTGGGTCATAGATGTTTTCCTATGGTGACAGATTTGTGTTTTTTGTGGTGATAGACTTGTGTTCGTGTGGTGATAGACTTGTGTTCGTGTGGTGCTAGACTTGTGTTTGTGTGGTGCTAGAGTGTGGTGCTAGACTTGTGTTCGTGTGGCGATAGACTTGTGTTCGTGTGGTGCTAGACTTGTGTTCGTGTGGCGATAGACTTGTGTTCGTGTGGTGATAGACTTGTGTTCGTGTGGTGCTAGACTTGTGTTCGTGTGGCGATAGACTTGTGTTCGTGTGGTGATAGACTTGTGTTCGTGTGGAGATAGAGTGTGGTGATAGACTTGTGTTCGTGTGGAGATAGACTTGTGTTCGTGTGGTGCTAGACTTGTGTTCGTGTGGCGATAGACTTGTGTTCGTGTGGCGATAGACTTGTGTTTGTGTGGAGATAGAGTGTGGTGATAGACTTGTGTTCGTGTGGTGCTAGACTTGTGTTCGTGTGGTGATAGACGTGTGTTCGTGTGGTGATAGACTTGTGTTCGTGTGGTGATAGAGTGTGGTGCTAGACTTGTGTTCGTGTGGTGATAGACTTGTGTTCGTGTGGCGATAGAGTGTGGTGATAGACTTGTGTTCATGTGGTGATAGACTTGTGTTCGTGTGGTGATAGAGTGTGGTGATAGACTTGTGTTCGTGTGGTGATAGAGTGTGGAGATAGACTTGTGTTCGTGTGGAGATAGACTTGTGTTCGTGTGGAGATAGACTTGTGTTCGTGTGGTGATAGACTTATTTTCGTGTGGTGATAGAGTGTGGTGATAGACTTGTGTTCGTGTGGTGATAGACTTATTTTCGTGTGGTGATAGAGTGTGGTGATAGACTTGTGTTCGTGTGGTGATAGACTTATTTTCGTGTGGTGATAGAGTGTGGTGATAGACTTGTGTTCGTGTGGCGATAGACTTGTGTTTGTGTGGAGATAGACTTGTGTTTGTGTGGTGATAGACTTGTGTTCGTGTGGTGATAGACTTATTTTCGTGTGGTGATAGAGTGTGGTGCTAGACTTGTGTTCGTGTGGCGATAGACTTGTGTTTGTGTGGAGATAGAGTGTGGTGATAGACTTGTGTTCGTGTGGTGATAGACTTGTGTTCGTGTGGTGATAGACTTGTGTTCGTGTGGTGAAAGACTTGTGTTCGTGTGGTGATAGACTTGTGTTCGTGTTGTGACAGACTTGTGTTCGTGTGGAGATAGACTTGTGTTCGTGTGGTGTTCATGTATGCCAATGACGATCTGTGCCAAGTGATGTCTGATTACCATATGGCCAGACATAGCGTTATCAGCCAAACATTCACCTGCTGAAATGTTATGATTTATCTACAAATCCTATGATTATATTTGTAATAAGGTAATAGTTTAGTCGGTATTATAATTACAATAGCATTATTCTTGACGTGGAACATATGTGTAATAAGATTATTTTTATCCTGATTATTTTTATAAACTGTATTAGGACAGCAAGTAATGACTTTCTAAACCCTCCCTCACGAAACATTTTGCGCATTTCTTGGCAATGGGGACCGCCTTGACTGTAGATAACATATCATCACAATATCTTTGGGGTCTAGGACCTTTCCATCAATAAGTAGGAATATATTTCATACTGTCTTTAAACAGATATGAGTCCGAAACATGCCGGTTCATATTGACGTATCAAATGTAATTTCATTAATAAAAAGTTATTTAATCGCTTCCGACTTACACGTGCGTGTGTGTGTGGGGAGGTAATGCTTATGAGTAGAGGGAGGGGGGTGGTGGCTGGAGTCTGTTTTTCCTTCAATATGTAGGGTATATTAATCCACATGTATATATATATATATATATATATATATATATATATATATATATATATATATATATATATATATATATGTCTAATGTATCTAAATAGGCGACAACAATAAGTCTCTATAAAAATAAATATATCATCGTTCATAACTAATACCAAAATGCATGAAAGGGATACAGCAAAGCTACTACATACGCTACTATTGTAGAGACCTAATGCTTAGACCAGGGGTCTCCAAACTTTTCAGTCCGAGGGCCGCATTAACTATTAAATTTCAGTTCGGGGGCCAGTTTCTTCCACGTATGTCTTTGATTTTTCTGGGCAAAGTTCCTCAGCCATCACAAACAAAAGATTTTTCCTTGGACAAAAAGATCTCCGCGGGCCGGATGAGAGGACTTCGCGGGCCGCATCCGGCCCGCGGGCCGTAGTTTGGAGACCCCTGGCTTAGACCATAAATATGCAATATTAGCAGCCCAATTTTTTCATACTGATAACACAGAATGTAAACTGGTTTTTATTAAGTAGTGTTAAGTAATTTTGTTTAAATACGTTTTAAATTTATTTTAGTTTAAACTGAGTGTGTCCAGTTTAATATTTAATTTTTTTTTAATGTGTCCAGTTTAGAGATGACTGAAGCATTACATGAAACGGGTGCAACGTTATTTCTAATTTGACTAGCGAGGTTTGTCTGGTATGTGGCACTGGCTCGTGTCAGCTTCAAGTCGTCACTGACAGCAGTCCTTACAATGTGACACTGACAATATTGTCAGGATAAATGTCACTGCCACCAGCCCTTACAATATGACACTGACAATATGGTCAGGATAAATGTCACTGACAGCAGCCCTTACAATGTGACACTGACAATATGGTCAGGATAAATGTATCAGGTGATTGTAAGCCAAAAATATTCTTGATAAACGGTGACAATATTTTTCGTCGGAAGTTGATTTTTAAATTCTAACGATCTAACTTAACAAGCTGACGTATAGTGGTGACGTAATATGTCGACTAAACATCTAAATGGTGTGTGATGGTGTAGCAAATTCAACAAGTGAAGCACATAATGAATAACAAGGCAAGAAGCCACATTCCTAGTGAGCATTTAATCAGGTACATTAAAAAATAACACGTCAAATTAAATATGAAACAAATGAAAATAATCTCACATTTAAACAAAGGCATCAATGACCAAGGGGTTATCAGAAAAAACATGGGGATGCCATGCTTATTTAGGAGAAACCATGGCTAGTCCTGGAAATCCCGTAACAAATGTATAGGTACATGGTATCAAACGAAAGCCCAAAACCAAAAGATAGTTGAGGGTGGGGGGCTAACCGAGTGTAAAATTTTAAAACAAAACAAAACTAGCTAGTCTAGTCTTCTTCAGAGAAAACCGTTACAAAGAGGATCAAATGTGTAAGGAATTATCGATTGGTGAGTACTAGTGCCTTGAGAGCAAGCAATAAATAATTTATCGAGTGCTTTGGTCTGTGTGTGTAGACACAAGTCGAATGCTACCGTCCGGCTCGCCGCGTCACGATGTTGTTCTCACCCAATCGCCACACGTCTCGTGACACACAGTAGGGAAGCAGACGAGAAAAAAAAACCCAGATCACAGAAACATTTCTAGTCGACTCTTGGACAGTAGCAGAAAATGTACTAGAATAAATATGTAGTCTAAGTAACCTATTTGCTTACTTTCTAGTCTAAAATTGTCTAATTCTACTCCATAGTTTAGAATCAAACGAGATGAATTCAACAGTTGACAAGACGGATGTAAACAAAATGCTTCCCTTTCCAGCATTGGCTGGCTGGATGACTTTTTTCTACAAGACTTAAAATCTAACGACCATCTTGCCTGTTGACGGTTACAACAAAATTTCGCCAGGCAACACGGTGTAAAACAAAAGAAAGAACTGTCAAATGATTTCAGATATTCAAGTCTATGATTATGTGCATGCGCCACATACATTTAGGAGTCGAGAAGCGCTAAATGACAAACTAGAAATAGCGAAGAAAGGGACAAGGAGCCTCCAAACGGAAGTTACCGATGTCTTATTACTGCTAATGGTGTAAGCTGAAGGGGCTGGGCTTTATAAACAAAGGGAACAACTCTTGTTGAAGACAAAATTAACCGCTAGGTGTTGAAAAAATTGTACAATTTATTTTAAGTAGACAATGTATAAATAAAAGTGTTGAAAAAAATATAATAAAAAATGTCAATAATTTTCTCAATTAAAACTATAGTATTTCCTGTAAACTTTACAACTAACCTAAAGTTTCTGTATGTATAGAAGAAAACTATAGAATCTATATGAAGTATCCATTTTACTGGTTTAAAAAAAATCAAGTCTTTACTTCAGTAAGCCATTTTGCAGATCTTTCAAATAATCTACAAGTTTTTCGTAAAAATAAATTAATTCTTTTAAAATGTCTACAATATTAATAATATATTTTTACTTGATTTATTGTGTTATTGAAATAAGTTAAATTGACTATTTTGGAAGAACAAATTGTAAATTGCAGAGAAGGGAAAGAACCAAGGGCAAAGAGATAAAACAAAAAAAGGGGAAGAATCAGCACTATGAGTATCATATCACCCGAATGATATCAAATAAATAATCTAATGACATAATTCATGCATCATTTTCACAGGCAGAAGTTACACATAACTACTCAACACTGGATCAAAAAGAGAAGTAAACAAAGTGAAGAAGAGCAAAAAGGGGGAGAACTCCAAAGTGATGATCACTACATGGATCAGTAGTCTGCCAGACACTGATTTCAGTCAAATGGATGTAAGAGACCTATACATTCTTCATACATTAGATCAGTTTTTTTAAAGTTGGGGTGCTCAGTTATGTAACATTGTAAAAAAATGTTTGAAGCTATTTACATGGATTCAATAGAAGAGTAACAAGGTACTTACAGGCTGTCACAAATGCTAGTCATAAAAATACAGGGAGAGTACAGGGTACAGTCATACATGTCACTGACTGATGACAAACAAGTCACTGACTGATGATAGTCACACAAGTCATTGACTTATGACAGTCACACAAGTTATTGACTGATGACAGTCGCACAAGTCATTTACTTATGATAGTCATACAAGTCACTGACTTATGACAGTCCCACAAGTCACTGACTGATGATAGTCATACGTCATTGACTTATGACAGTCATATATGTCACTGACTTATGACAGTCATACGTCATTGACTTATGACAGTCAAACAAGTGATTGACTTATGAGAGTCAAACAAGTCACTGACTTATGAGAGTCATACAAGTCATTGACTTATGAGAGTCATACATGTTATTGACTGAGTCACTGGCTGAGTCACTCTGTCACTGATGTCATACTGACTGACCATACGACAGTACAACAAACCCTTGACAGACAAGTCCTTGACTGATGACAGTTAAGTTCTTGACTGAAGAGTCAAGCTTCTCGTCTTACTGTGGCCAGCAACTGTTGACCTTGACCTACAAATCAGAGGAAGACTTTGCTCATTTGTTTGACATTTTTTCTGTCTATGACAGCAACATTGACCAAGCCACACATTGACCAAGCTTAAACTGGTGTACTCATCTAAAAAAATTGTAGATAAATCCAAGTGGTAGATAAGAAAATTTATAAGCTAACCTTTCATGATGCAGTCACATTTTAGAATTAACAAATGTAGAGATAAACATAGTGTAGTAAAAAAAATCAATTAATCACATAATTAATAATTATGATTAGTGTTGTAGAAATTATTCTCTCACTACCAGTTACATCATCTATCATTTCAATGGCATTATAAACATGTTCAGAACATTTTTAGAAACACGATTTCACCTTATCTTAAAAATTTTGTATATAATTTGAATCTTCTCAAATAAAAACAAATGTTGGCATCTAGCATTAAGTTGATGACCTATATATAGGCAGAAGTTTACTCAAGACTTTTCTAAAGATGAAATGTATGTTGGTTGTTTTAGTGCTGTGAGGTCATTCTTCTTAGAACAATAAACGTTGTTTAGAAATAAACAAAATCCCACATTTTAATAGGGAAGAAATAAAAATACTAAATAGCCTTTTTTATTATTCTTAATAAATAAATAAATAACATTTTGTAATTTTGATGTAAAATTGATCTAATGTGTTAGTCAACCATCAGTAACTCATCCTACAGCAAACATCAGTACATCACAATACACTGGCAGATGTCACATTTTGACAATGATGTTACATAAAACAAACCCCAGTATTTCTAACATTTGTTGACAAAGTATCAATTCTTTAAAACTACAGGCTAGAAATCTGGAAGCTAATATGCTGTTGTCTAGATTGAAAATCTATAAACTAAAAACTATAAAAAATGAATTAAAGATGACATTTCCTATTGATTTTAGAGTTCATTGTTAGCAGTTGGATTAAGCCAATCATAAGGCTTAAAATGTCAAAATGAATGGCATGATATCTTCAGCTTTGTTAACAAAATGGAAGCTTTGTGTTGATGTAATGATAACAGATGTTTTATCTGAGTGTTGATTTATGTGTGTTGATAACAAATTTTCTATCCCATTTTTGTTTTGTGTGTTGATGTGTGTTGATAATCTAACAGCAGAATAATGCAGGTCAACTAAAATGTTTGACCTGAACATTTAAAAAATCTATTTCATATATTTAGCATCCAACCTGCCATCAACCCTTTGAGCAACATGAAACGTGTGTTGTTTTGGATGACATCAGATCAGTGTGTACAGTAAGAAGGCTATGGTTAAACATGGACATCTACAGATTTTAACATTGTAAAACAACAGGTAAGTGACCCTAATTCAAGTTTACTCACTCACACATCGCAACCATTTTGTAGAAGAAAATATAATAAAAGTTAAAAGTAATAAGGAGGTAGCTATGAGTGGAAAGATCTACATGTGTTTGAGATGAACAACGCTACGAGCCTATACTTGCAATACAATTCTAGGATGTAGAAAAAAAAAACTGACAGCTTTTTGGCCATTTCCCCCTGAACAACCATACAGTGCTGGCCAGTCAACGCCAGTTTCAGAAGTCTTCAACTCATGAATAAACATAATGTGTCACTTGAGTTATGACAGAATAATTAACTCTAATTAGTGTCCCAATCCTGATGCCTCAGGTACAAAATGGAGGCTGAGGTTTAAAATATAAAGAGTGTTGTTTCTACTCTGGACTTTATAAATGAATTGAATGAAATGGAAGATTGAAATTTTTCACTCTGCCCAGCAATTCTAGTTTCATATTTCCTAGTTGCTTGTGTATAGGAGATGTAAAGTTTTAGTTTTTGAATGTATCATTAAAACAAAACTACTGCAGAGTTTGTGATCAAGTATTTTGTAAACTTTTAAAAAAAGAGGAAAAATGGACGTTACAAATAATTACAGTTGAAAACAAGAAAGGAAGAAGTTAATTTTCAAAAATTAAAAAGAAGAATAAAAATATTTTTTTCATTTTCATTGTTTAGTAATCTAAGCTAGGTTTGTGCTTTATTAGAATGCCACAACAGTTATGCTTGATGGAATACACTTTAGAAGTTTATCTAAACATCATCCAACTGCTAATACAGTAAAGTATCTAAATAAAAAAACGTGTGATTTAAAACTGTGTATTTACATATATCAACTTGATTTGAATGCTTATTATAGTACAAATTTGTAGATCATATTGTAACAATAATAGAAAAAAAAAGAATCTACAGAAAAAAATCCATGAATGATGAATGTATGAAAGTGAGGTTAAAAAGACTGAATAAGAGATATGAAGAAATCACTGTCTAAAAACACTTGGTGACTGAAAGACGTCATCTGGATGTACAGGAGAGCCAAACAATTTGTACACATTTACAAGAGTGGCATGCACAGCGCTCACTGCCCCTTGCTTATAGTTCCCAACAGTAGAGAATATATCATGACTGATAGTATAAAAATGTAGATCTACTAGAATAAACTACATTAAGTTAACAGTAACATCAGTACCTATTCTTACCCCATTCATTAGTATATGTACAATCTAGTTTAAACAGTTTAAAACATTAAAACAAATTCCTACAGTATTTTCTTTAAGCAATTCAGATTTTTATCATATGATCATATGAATTGTACAAAATCACTTGTATTATGCTTACAATTAACAAAAGCCAACAAACAAAACTGATCACTAAATCAATTCAAGAACTCATTGTCATAATTTATAAATAGATCAAGGCTTGCATTAAGGTATCACATCAACAAGTCACAGTTTTCACATCGTGTGCACTGGTCAAATAAAAAAATAGCATTTAACCATTAAATCACAGCTTCAGTAGCCTAGTGCTAGCATATGGCCTTGCTTGACTTGTGCCATAACTTTAAACAAGAACTCAAAACATAAATAGATCAAACAACTGAACAGTTTTTGTATACCACTACATGGAACAAGTCTCCATTATTTTCAATCATTTTGCATATATATTTTTTTAACAATTACTTAAAGACACAAAACATTACAAATATAAAGCCTTTAAATAAACAAAATAAAACTTTAAATATAATACTGTGGTAATCAAACGTAAGTCAGATGGTAAAAATAAAAATAACCTTCATTTTCCCAGTTGTCCTGAAACTCTCGCAGCAAATTGAACAACATTGCCCCAACAAAAGCAGAAATAAACTAACATTTACAACAAGACATGATGAACAGCACATTTTTAGCCCGCATTCTCTTCAACTTTTCAAGCTCAATAACAGGATACAACATTTCATCCACCCAAACATTTGCACTCTAACTGGCCTGGTCAGCACTGATTGCCTCCCTTATTTATTCGCTCTCCAATTCTTGAGGGATAGAACATGGCTGAAGAGATTCTGCTCATGAAATTATTCAAGCAAGCAACTGCCCTAAATTATTCTTGTCTTGGGATTGTGGGGACTGGTTATAGAAGATAGTGGGGGCTGGGGAGAAACAAGACCCCATGCTGAAGATAAAAGGGGAGTGAAAAATTTCAAGGTTTGGGCAGGGTAATCACAGCCCTGTCATATATTGTTGGATTGTTCAGTGTTGTAGTGCACATAATGTTTAAGTTGGTGACATTTTTAGGTGGGGCTTAAGCAGCTTTCAACAAAGATTAAGTGTAGCAACAGAGTTTTGGCAGGGACAGATTATAAAGAGTAGTCTCCCCTGTGATTGAAGTTTCTTACTGTGATCAATCAGAAATAAAATGTCAGCTTTAAAAGTACTTAAAATAGTGAAAAACTTTACTCAGGTGATTATACTTGATAATACTGCCTTATTGGAATAGATCTGCTTTATGGTGGTGCATTATGCTCAGTAAGAAATATTTTAAAATGTGTCTTTTAATACTACAGCTATTTATTTATGCCTTTAGACATGCTGATAAGAGGAAAAAAATCTCTTCGTAGCAATAGCCTACAGTAGTTAACTTTGTTTTCCTTAACTCACACTGCAGGCAAGAAGAAACATCTGAGGCAGATAATATCAAAGCCACAGGATCGTTCATGCGATGGTAAGATAGCTGATTTTAACTAGGGAAAAAAGCCTGAGTTGAAACAGTGTATCACAAGATAAAAAATAAAAAGACTATTGTGAGAAGGTGCCAGAAAGTCTTTGTATGTTTGATCTTTTCAAAATGAAAACAATCCTATCACATTTAGCCCATCTTGTACAAAAATATACAGGTAATCATACAACCACCAAGAGTCAAAAGTATTTCAATTTAAACCCAATACTTTTTGCAGGTAGACCTTTAGCTAGTGTTAAACTTGTAGCAATTAGGTAAGGGAGCAGCCAACTGATTCAGCATGAGGTTGATTGTCTCAGAGTGAGCTACTGAATTACTTCATGACCAATGTTTATAGCTTCAATAAGGGAGGCAATGCAGTTTCTATAGACCATTATATCTAAGCATAAATCACAGTAACTGTTTACAAAAGAAATGCAGAGAACTATTTCTTAAATCCTCAAAACAAAAAATTAACTAAACTCGCTAAGGCATCTCGAGCAAATTTATGGAAGAAAATATAATTTGTGGCAACAGGATTTTTTTTCTACAGATGGATAATTGAACAGCTTTCTTCCTTCAACATAAAAAAACTCCCCTTTAAACTCTTGAGAGAGCTATCAGTACATTTTGTGGTTTTTGGATCATTTGAAATTTAGTGGAGGTAAAATATACAGTATATAAAATATCACAAAATAATAGGTGGTTCAGGGTTAAATTATCCAATTAAATTTTTTTTTTCAACACTGTAATTCAATCAGGTATATTTGAATAACAATTGAAAACTACATGCCCTAAATCTAAAGAAGAGTGATGTCCAGGCATGAAGTACCAGTCCACCAGAGGTCAGTTAACAGAGAGGTCCAGTTTTCTTGAGAAAAAACAAAGTACAGAGCCTTCATATTGTCCGACAAACATTCTTGGCACTGTTTTGATTCCCCAGCTGCAGTCCTTGCCTCCACATCCAAAGCTCAGTCTGTTCAAGGCCAATTACTGCTGATTTCACTTGGTCAATCTGACAAAAAAAAAACAATTTCGTGAGTATTTACATTTAGTTCAAACGTATATTTTTATTTATATTATGTAAAATACATTATGTGTAATAATAGAAAGAAACAATATAACAAAGAACAATCAACCCTTAGATCTGCAAATAATTTTCTTTGTTACAACTTCAAATGGAATAGGATAAAATAAACATAACATAATCAATCAAGGAAAACTTTGTGTGTAAACTAAAACAGAACAAAACAAAAGAAACCCAAAAGAACAAAGCAATCTATGAAGCATTGTCAACTTTTGTTGAGATGGAGTGTTATGAATCTATGAAGCATTGTCAACTTTTGTCAAGATGGAGTGAATTACTGTTAATGTAAGTTAGAGTGAGCTACAGTTAACTGGTGTTGTGTAAGGGAATCAGACAGTTAACTGGTGTTGTGTAAGGGAATCAGACAGTTAACTGGTGTTGTGTAAGGGAATCAGACAGTTAACTGGTGTTGTGTAAGGGAATCAGACAGTTACTGAGTTAACTGGTGTTGTGTAAGGGAATCAGACAGTTAACTGGTGTTGTGTAAGGGAATCAGACAGTTAACTGGTGTTGTGTAAGGGAATCAGACAGTTAACTGGTGTTGTGTAAGGGAATCAGTTAACTGGTGTTGTTTGTGTAAGAGAATCCTCAGACCCTGAGTTGATGTATGTACGACACAAATATTACATCATCTATAACATGAGGACACTGAAATATTCAAGCATTCATCAATTATGCAAGGAATGGAGAATATTTCAATTCTCTCTTTCAGCACAGTAGTTAAACAAAATGTATTCCCTGCTTTTATATGACAAACTTAGAACAAAACGAATATGCGTGCCCAAGTGTGTAACACATTCGTGGCTTTGGTACAGCATTTACCAAAATGAGAAGTGAGCAATAACTAAATTTAGTTTGCATTTTTAAGGAACCTACTTACAATTCAAAATACAAAAACTGAAGTGAATATCTAAACCGTAAAAATTTTTTTTTGTTTATAAATTTCTATGCATGAAAAGTTGTAAGTGGGAATCTAAAGTATTGTAAAGTAATCTATGACTTACAAGCTTCTATTTTCAGTGTAATGTTAGGGTATGATCAGAACCCCAAAAAATCCCAATACTTAATATAATAATAGTTTTATAATTGAATTCTAATAAATAATAATTAAATTTAAAAAGTATTTAAAAGTTAATTTATTTCCATACATTAAATGAATATTTGAAGAGAATAAATACAATTTAAACCCCATTCTGTCTTCACATACACAACCCAAAACATGCAGACTCAGAATGAACAAAGTTATATAGACAATTGTCATCATCACAAAATTCTGCCTTAATCACTGGTGACAATAAAGGTTCAAAAATTTTTTTTTACAGCAGAAACTCCATTCAAGTTTTTAATGGAGCGATAAGTAATGAGCAACAAATTACAAATATATTGCCCCCTAAATGACTTAGTGAAAAAATTGCCAAAACTGTTACGTTTATTTTCAATTATTTTCAAATAGTTGGGAAAGCAATTAAAATATTGAACCATTAACCTTAATGATGGCTGTAAAAGAAGAAACCTTAGAAGTAAAATATAAAATAGACTTGAATATTTTTAATGCAGACTGCATGTTTATATGAAGTGTTACAGAGAACTTGGTATCTGAAAATCAATTAAGTGTAGAGTGTGGCTTTATTTAATCAAGTCAAATTGTTCAAGTTCATTTTGATTGGGGCTATAAATAGTAAAATTTCAGGTTTTTTCAATGGCTGTTTTAAGTAAACTAAAGGAACTGCACACATTGGATGGCACATGACTTATTTCTACCAAATCTGACACATTTCTTTACACAATAAATAAACATAAAAGTTCCTCCTTTCCCAACTTTTGTGATGTATCGGCCACCACCTATTAACTACTATCAGAATTTTTACACGTCTACAGCTTAGCCAAATTTTTGAAGCCCCACCCATACCAAAATCCTGCCTACCCAACTGGGTCTACTATCTACAAGGCGATGTAGACTGCGTATTTTGAAGAAACTCTTAACAGACCACCGCCAACGGAAATACCTGACATACCACCAGCCTTGGAGATTTTAAAAGCACACGCAAATGGTGTGCTTTTAATTTTTAAGAAGGTAAGGCTATACAAGTCAGGCTAAGAGTTAAGAGTTTAAAAATTCAAACCTTTTAAAATTAAATACAAGTTTAAAAACAAACTGATTTAAAATACGAAAGTCAGAAGTGTGTAGGCCTATCTACTTAACATTTGACTTCAAAAGCTCTAATTGAGGAAACAAAATTCCCCAGTCTGGCAACCTTCCCCTCCCCTTTTTTTCTTTCTACAAATGACGTAACAGCTCTCACGAGAAAAATATACTTTGACAACACGTAAGTGACGTAGCTAAGGCCTTGCTATTACGTAGGAGAATATTTATTTCAAACAAAATAAGGCTACTTGAAGAGAAACGAGTTTCCCGTTTCAAGCAGATTACCCAGTCTCTTCAAGTTTTTGTTTTTCTTTTAAAGATTTCGTCATAAAGACGTTGGGTTTCGAATTTTTTTTTTTGCAGTTCAGGTAGATCACGTGGGAAGTTCAGTGAGTCCGCAGTGGTTGTGACGTCAGCTAACAGGGATGTTTGTTTACTTTACACAATTTTACCTCCTTGTAGTGAGAATGTAGGGAGGTGCAGACGGGGCTTAAAAAATGTACAATAAAACAAATCCTCCACGTTTGTAACACACGCAAGCAATCACACACACACACATACGCGCACACACACTCAGACTCTCCGAAGTAACTTCACAATTAAAAACAAAATTGAGAATGGACTTTGGATCTTCCCCACCCCCGGACTTTGTGTGTCTAGCTGCTGTGTGGACCATAATATAACAACAAACAGCCGTTACAGAAGTTAAAGCCCGAGGCAACATCAGCTGATACGTTCTGTACTGAGATGAGCTAGTTGAGAACGGTTGATAGATTCTATTAGTCTCTCATTAAGATAGACTGGCGTATTTTGGGGTAAAATGTCAGCGGTACACAGATGAAAGCCAGAGAATGAGGTCACAGTTAAGTAGGGCTCACTCTGAAACACACGTCACAAAGGCCACGTGACTAAATATTCGGACTCAATGGACTATAAGGACATTGGTTACTGCTGACTTGTGATAAATATTCGGACTCAATGGACTATACGGACATTGGTTACTGCTGACTTGTGATAAATATTCGGACTCAATGGACTATACGGACATTGGTTACTGCTGACTTGTGATAAATATTCGGACTCAATGGACTATACGGACATTGGTTACAGCTGACTTGTGATAAATATTCGGACTCAATGGACTATACGGACATTGGGTACATCTGACTTGTGATAAATATTCGGACTCAATGGACTATACGGACATTGGTTACAGCTGACTTGTGATAAATATTCGGACTCAATGGACTATACGGACATTGGTTACTGCTGACTTGTGATAAATATTCGGACTCAATGGACTATACGGACATTGGTTACTGCTGACTTGTGATAAATATTCGGACTCAATGGACTATACGGACATTGGTTACAGCTGACTTGTGATAAATATTCGGACTCAATGGACTATACGGACATTGGGTACATCTGACTTGTGATAAATATTCGGACTCAATGGACTATACGGACATTGGTTACAGCTGACTTGTGATAAATATTCGGACTCAATGGACTATACGGACATTGGTTACTGCTGACTTGTGATAAATATTCGGACTCAATGGACTATACGGACATTGGTTACAGCTGATTTGTGATACTCTCTGGGGCAGTGTGGAAGGTGGTACTGGGAGCAGTACGGTAGGCAGTATAGGGGTAGTGTGGTAGGCAGTATAGGTGGTAGTGTGGTAGGCAGTATAGGAAGTAGTGTGGTAGGCAGTATTGAGTCTGGGAAACAAAAATGACAGCTGGGCTACTGCCAAAGAAAGGCGTGACTACATCATTGAGACCTTCAGGTCAAGATTTATCTTTAGTTTGACGCTGCATTAACATTTGTGGGCCATTAGTTCCGGCAACAGTACACAGACCCATAAGCTCGTTCAGTGCACGGGGGTGGCCGATTCATTTTCATTAACAGTCACAGTACTCAACATCGTTTTTTTTTTCGTGTTTTTTGTGTGACTTGAAATACAGGAGAACAGTCTGGCATTGATACTTTCGCATGTAGCGCAGTAATACATTGATACACCCGAATCCAGCGTAGTAATACATTGATCCTCTCGCATGTGGGGTAGTGATACATGGATAGGCTTAGGCCTACTGATTATCATTTGAAAGAGATGGCGCGAAGAATCAATAACCGTTTTGTTTTTGCTCATACAACTTTGTTTCTGGTTTAAGTGAATTGTCATTAGTTAATTTATATCATGGTCTTATTAATATATTCTTACTAATGAGCATGGAAAACCAATTATGCAAATAGCGTTATTTGGGAAGTTGAGCGTGAAGAAAACTAGGTCATTGGTGCTCGTGTTGCTGTTGGTCCGTTCTGATAAAAACTTGGATTCAAAGCTGTTACACACCATCACGGAAACACGTTTCGTTTCTTTTAATTAAATATTATAATGTCATTCAAGCCGGAAAAAATATCCTTTTGGGGGTGGAACAGGTCAGCAATAAAAGTATAAAGTCAAAGGAATTCTTAAAATACAATACTAAAATTTAATCGGTGGTCGATACTTCTGTTGGCGACATATTTTGCCTCATCGATTTTTTTTAACATAAGAAAACAAACCAGGAAAATATGTCTCGCATTACGCAGTTAAATACATGCGAAAAACGCGTGGAAAAGACGCACGTAACAGCGCCTATGTAAGAAGACAGTAAACCCAAGTAAACATCTACACACAATGTATGACAGGCACCTTGTTATGTTATCTCAACCATTTTACTCTCCGCGTAGATAATTGATTCATTAGCTGATCATCTCACGTGATCGGGG